AGCTCCATAATTTTAAAGGGGTAATTATGATCAATTATGAGAGATTTTTGGTTAATCAAATAAATTATCAGTTTCATTCAGGATTCATCTAAAATAAATATATTTATGATTTCATAAGAAATTATTGAATAGACAATGCCATAAACGGGAGCCCTGCCCCCTCACTCTGGCACTTGATCTCCTCGTTAGGGCCTGCCACGCTGCTTGCTGAAATTACCAGCTCCCTGTCGTGAAATCTTCTCGAAGCGTGTTTCATGCCCTTACTGCCACTCTGGAATAGGATTACTTCGCCTTCTTGGCTCCGTGACAGTCGGAAATAGTGATATTTGCTGATCTAGCTGTGTTCCGGTGCGTGGTGCTTGCACAGTGTGCCGTGGTATCCGAGTGCATCGTAGGCAACTTCTCGAGACTTAACTACAGTACACCGCGACTCGCCTCCGAGTACATGAACAATGTTCTCCCAAAACCAAACCTCTGTTGCCATGTTGCCATCCGCTTGGGTTGTGGATTGAGACTCCAATCACACCAGCTACTACCAGAGCAAAGACAACTCCGCAGACTGTAGGGCAACAGAGCCCGCGCCGCCTTTGCCCTCTCGGCGCCGCGAATGTGAATGCCTGCACGGTGTAGGGCATCAGCGATGAGAACTCCGACGAGGACTTCGTAGGAAGTGGACTTTACTCTCTTGCACTTTTGGGTGAAGCGTGTCAGTTCAACTGACACACGGCAAACAAAGAGCTCCGCAGTCAGGCAATCAAGCCAATTGATGAAACTGTCAGCGTTTGTGTCATTTTACGGTGCAAAGTCAGAAGATGACTTTCACAATATAAGTCAATTGGGCTCCAGCCATACCTTGTTTTGTAAAAGATGCCATTTTCGGCGATCTTGAATTTGGGGAGCCCATCTCCCTTTCGCTGCTTCAACGACCACGGTGCATGTGTCACTTGTGTGGTTGGGCCCAAAGACCCATTTTGAAAAGATTTTGTGCCCCCTCGAAGATCTTAAATTGAGATTCTCACTGAGCGAGCTTATCGTCTACATGTAGATCCCTACGCAATTACACGACGGCCTTCCGCACCAACGGCAATGACTGTAGTGCGCTGCTCTATCGATACGTGTACGTCTCGCATGTTGGTGAGAAGAAATCTCCCCACCCCGACACCAGTAGACGAGACGCCATCGAGCTTCAACTCGGCGAGTGTTGTTGGCTTGGGAGACTCGTCACTGGCGAGAAGCACCCTGCAGGCCTCTGTATTCATCATTCCTCGTGCTTTCACATCTGCACTCGACTACCACGGGATTTCAGCCTCCTGGCGCTCGCTTCATGCGCTTGAAAAATGCAAGCATTCTGGACCATTTTCGGTTTTGATCCCATTTTGGCATGTTTTTGCCCAGTCAGAAAGCCCATGGATGCATACGAAAACATAGTCAGCGCTTGCGCTCACTTTTGACAGGCATCATTCGCCATGTGGCTGCAAGCTGTTGCTCGCCGGGGTCACGTCCGCCTGCCCTGCTCACTTTTCAAGTGTCTTCGCGAGGCTCAAGTCGCTCCGCCCCCAATCGCTCCTTCATCCTTCTTCTCTACCATGGCTCCGGCAACGTCGTTCGTGGGTGCTATCGACCAGGGCACCACTAGCTCGCGCTTCATCGCGTTCGACCACAGCGGCAACATCGCAGCCACGCACCAAATGGAGCACAAGCAGATCTACCAGCAGCCGGGCTGGTGCGAGCACGATGCCGATGAGATCACACGTAATGTCGAAACGTGCGTGCGCGAGGCGCTGGCCAAGGGCGGCATCGAGCTGTCGCAGCTGCAGGCCATTGGCATCACCAACCAGCGCGAGACGGCGCTCGTCTGGGACCGTGTCACGGGCAAGCCGCTTTACAACGCCATCGTCTGGCACGACACGCGTACCACGGAGATCGTACACCGTCTCAAGAACGGCGAGGGCGAGGGCTTCCTGGGCACGGGTGCCGACCGATTCCGCTACGTCACGGGCTTGCCAATCGCCACCTACTTCTCGGCCGTTAAGATCATGTGGATTCTCGAGAACGTGCCTGGCCTACGTGAAAAGGCTGAGGCCGGCGACGCCATTTTCGGCAATATGGACACGTGGCTCATCTGGAAGCTCAGCGGTGGCGTCGATGGCGGCGTGCACGTGACCGACGTGACCAACGCTTCGCGCACGAACCTCATGCGCCTGGATACGCTTCAGTGGGATGACGACATTCTTAAGTGCCTCAGGATCCCCAAGTCTATGCTGCCTGCTATTCGCTCCAGCTCAGAGGTCTACGCGTCGGGCCACAAGAACAGCGTGATCCCCGGCATCCCCATTTCAGGCGACCTGGGCGACCAGCAGGCGGCCCTCTTCGGCCAGACTTGCTTCTCACCTGGCGAGGCCAAGAACACGTACGGCACGGGCTGCTTCTTCATGATGAACACGGGCACCAAGCCCACGCCGTCTACCAAGGGCTTGCTCACTACCATGGGCTACAAGATCGGCGATCAACCGGCTGTGTACGCCCTCGAGGGATCCATCTCGTACGCTGGCTCGCTCGTGCAGTGGCTGCGTGACAACCTCAAGATGATTGATAGCGCACCCGAGGTCGAGGAGTACGCCAAGCAAGTCAAGGACAACGGCGGCGTATACCTCGTGCCTGCGTTCTCCGGTCTGTTCGCACCCCGCTGGCGTGACGATGCACGTGGTGTCATGGTCGGTCTGACCTCGTACGCCACGCGCGAACACATTTGCCGCGCTGCTCTGGAGGCCACCGCATTCCAGACGCAAGAGGTTGTGGCAGCCATGGAGGGCGACAGTGGCGTGCACCTGACCAAGCTCAAGGTGGACGGCGGCATGGTGGTGAACCAGACGCTAATGCAGTTCCAGTCGGACGTGCTGAACGTGCCGGTTGTGCGCCCTGTGGTGGCGGAGACGACGGCCCTGGGTGCTGCATACGCCGCCGGTCTTGCCGTGGGCTTCTGGAAGACAGTCGAGGAGCTGCGCGAGAACTGGCAGGTGAGCGCCACCTGGAACCCGGACATGGAGCCCGACACGCGTGGCCACTTCATCCACCAGTGGAACAAGGCTGTCGAGCGCACGCTCAACTGGGAGGAGCGGGAGTGAATTGCAGCAGACCCCCGAAGCAGTAGATTATAAGGCGACTAGTGCAGAGGTTTTGCAGGCAGTGCTGTAACAAACAATGTCAAGTGGTGGTGTATTCAGCTGTGTGTTGAGTGTGGATCGTTACAGTAACTGGCCTTGGTAGCTACGTAGCAATTCCATTGCGTACATGCATCGATGATGAAGCTCTTGGGAGTCTTATCTTACGCACTTATAGTGCGACTACCAAGTTGAAGTTTGTCACAATCTTCGCCAGCTGTTTACATACCAGCTGGTCAAAGCTTTGGCGCACTTGTTGCAGTCGTGACGGCCGAGACGGATACGTTGTATTTCTCCAGCAGACTTGAGAGCCGCTCGGCCGAGTACTCCCACCGCGGCACCTTCGTGACCACCTCGGTCCGTGACTCCGGCTTCGAAGGAGGAAAGGTGGGGATCGGGAGCTTGTGCTGCAGCGGGAACATGGTGAACTGCGAGCCGTCGTCATTGAGAGCTTCTGCCACCGAGTGTAGTGGTGCAGACAAGATCAAACTGCCAACTTCGTCCAATGAGTCATCCTGTGGCAGCAGGTCATTTGCCCATGACACGGGCCTGATCTCTGCTGTTAATGGGGCCGAGTGATCTGCAGGACGCCGAGGGAACTGCAACGACAGCTTGTTGGGTGTTTCATGGTTTCCTCGTGCATGAAAGTCTTCGAACTGATTGCTCTGCTGGGGTCTAGTTTTGATAAACTGTTTCTCCTCTTCCAGAGGACGCAGCTTCATAACCTTTGATGCTGGACTTTTACCTTTCTGCTGGTTCTTATTGCGATGGATTATCGCTACTGCAGATGCATGAGCGTTGTTGTCGGATGCTTGTCTCCTCCTAATCATTCCGCTCGGTACGACAGCAGCTACAGGCTTGGGGAAGGGTAAACGCCTGGGTTTGCGGCCATGGACGAGTGGGGAAAGATCCTGCGAGTAGCAAGCCATCATTTGCTGCCGTCGTTCGTAGAGGCTTGATGTACGAGCTTCCGCTGAGGTGACGTTGTCGTTGCTAGTGGTGGTGTGTGAATAAGGAGATTCATCGTGCTTGGACATTGGAGTCGCGAGGTGGGGCAAGTTTTCTTCGCTCGGCTCGGCTGTAGGCTCGGATTTTCGTCTGTGGGCTGCTTTTGGGGGATTCGGCTTCTTTTTGGTCTTGCCGGCATTGCCTTCTTGCTCGGAGCGACTCGTTTGCTCGTCACCTTGGAGCTGCTGGAACTTTAGCTCTTCGTCCCGCTTGCGTCGCTCTTGGATCATCAAGAAATGCTTCCGTCGCTGTCGAGCGAGCTCTCGCTCGGCAGCAAGCGCTTCCTCCTTTGCACGTTTGGCCGCCTCTAGACTCTCCCTTTGTTGCTTTAAAACCTCTTGCTGACTTCGCAAGAGCTGCATTTGATCCTGACACTTTGCCTCAGCTTTTACGAGGAGGCTCAACTTCGGCAGCGGCGACAGCACTCTACTTCCACCACCACCAGAATGTACCGCCAGTGAGGTGTTGCTCTTACCTGCTAAACGAAGGATGCAAGATGCGCACAGTAGCTCGGGTTCAGGTGAGTCAGCGCTGTCGTCAGAGCCCTCGGGCAGTGCTTGAAGCATTGTTTCCGGGGGCGGCGGCATCAGCCGAAAGCATCCGATGCAGCACGACGACGCACCTTCATCTTGCGCATTGGTAGCAGCAGCTTGTGTTTGCAAGTGGCCAGCGTCTGCAGAGCCATGTGGGTTCAAATGCTGGGCTGCCGCGCTGGAAGCCTCGGGCTGCAGTCGGAGATGAGTCAACATTACTCTGATGCCAAGCTGCGAGCGGTGAAGCCTCCGCTTGCATTTATCTACTATTTATAGTTCCTGCCGGCCAGTGGTTGTACGTGGACACGATCGTCTTGTGCTATCACCTGTATCGTTGCGGAGCTGTAAAACCAGAGCCTGCGATTCACTCGAATACGTAGCTAGTCGAGGTTTAACTTCAACTATCACCTTGAAGTACCCATCTTCTCCTCGGTTTAAGAGCCGATGTGATCTCTGCAACTGCTGCTAACGACATCACTGTATTTGAATGACACTCAACACAGGCGTCGATAAGAAGATGCGGCAATGCCAATAACGACGTCTCTTGACACGCTTCCAAGCGACCGTCGGCAAGCCACCGCGCTTCGAGCTGCTCTCAGTCTCCGTTTTGCTTCGAAGTCCTCATACAGTCGACCCAGCGAGCATGTCCACGTCTAACGTCGCGCCGCAACACCACAGCGACGCTCATCTGGCACATCTACATGCCGTGGGGGTAATTCAGAGGCAGCAGAGCGTGGGGCTCAAAATTCTATTGGGCGGCATCGCTAATACCATTTCCGCAGCGGCGACCAATCCCATTGATGTCGTCAAGGTGCGACTACAGCTGCAGGCGCTGGAGCCAACGGCCGTCACGTCGTCAGCGGCGGCTGCGGCAGGCACTGTTGCTCCGACTCGGTACCTTGGCTTCGGGCACGGCCTCAAGACCATAGTTCAGGAAGAAGGATGGTACGGCCTGGCCAAAGGCTGGAAAGCCTCGCTGCTCCGAGAGTTCTCGTACTCGGGCATCCGCTTCGGCATGTACGACCAGGTGAAGGAGTTCTACGAAGACCAGATATTCCATACGTCCCCCGCCGAGCAAAGACGCACCCCGTTGTACATCAAACTGCTGTCAGGCGCAACGTCCGGGGCAATTGGCAGCGCCCTTGTGAACCCGATGGATCTTGTGAAGGTGCGCATGCAGGCGGATCGCATGGGTACACGCTATAACAACAGCTTCCTCTTTGCATGCCGCAAAATCTACCAGGATGAAGGGCTGATCCAGGGTTTCTACCGCGGGGTCGCGCCCACCACTTTCCGCGCCATGGTGTTGACCGCTGCGCAACTACCCAGCTACGACCACATGAAGGAGACTCTGCTGCACCACACTCCGCTCGAGGAAGGCGTAACTGTTCACATGATCTGCAGCATGTTCGCCGGCCTCACTGCTGCAACGGCGTCCTCCCCTCTCGATGTGATGAAGACACAGATCATGAACGAGACCAAACTCGGCGGCGGCAGGAACGTCTTGGGCCGCGCCTTCATGGGCGTGCTCCGGACGGAGGGTACACGGGGTTTCTTCAAGGGCTGGCTAGCCAATTGGTTTCGCCTTGGCCCGCACACCATCATCTCGCTCATGGCGTACGAGGAGCTGCGTGCTGCGATGGGAATCAAGCCCGTTTAACGAATTCGATAAGCTGCCTGTATTATCAAAAAAAAAAATCTTCGCCTATGTCGATGCTCACCAATTATCCCGGCTTGTTGATGATAAATATTGTTTTTGGCGGTCACGAGTGAAGTGGTGGTGAAGTTCGTCGACGGGCAGGTAATCACACGATGTCACTCACATCTCAATTCTGGGCGCTGTCACGAACTCATCTGTATGTGCTTTACTGAGTTGGCGAATCTTTCCCCAGTAATATACTACGTGGTAGGAAAGTGTTATCCACCTGGTTTTGGCCAAGCTGCTTGTTTCGGTTTGCAAATCGGCGTCATACGCCCACAACCTTGCACCAAGCAGCAACCTCTGCGTGAGGGAGGACCTCGCTTTAACGACCAGATCGGAGGAAACTAATTTATTTATTTGCAAACAGAGATCCTTATTACCAGGTGATGCGAATGCGAATAAGTGCTAAACACAAGTCGAGACAAGCCGAGACCGTGTTGGGTGAAGATAGTCAGACGTCACCAACAAACTAACAGTGAGCGCACGCTCGCCGCAGCATACCTTTCCGGCACTGCCGGGCATCCAGCAGTCTTCGTTTGACCTCCAAGACCATCCAGCAGTAGTGCGGTCATGTCCACGTCGAACACACCTCTCGGGCGCCGCGAGAATACCAAGCTTGCGCAGCTAGCTGCCGTCCAGCACGAAATCGACTGGCAGCAGAGCGTCGGTGTCAAGATTCTGCTGGGCGGTATCGCCAATACCTTTGCGACGGCCGTGACCAACCCTATCGACGTTGTCAAGGTGCGGCTGCAGCTACAGGCACTGGAGCCCGTGACGGCTGCTGGTAGTACTGCTCCGACGCGATATCTAGGCTTTGGCCATGGTCTTAAGACAATTTGGAATGAGGAGGGCTTCGCCGGCTGGGCAAAGGGTTGGCAGCCGTCATTACTGCGCGAGTTCATCTACTCGGGTATTCGCTTTGGCATGTACGACGTAGTCAAGGAAACTTTTGAAAACAATATCTTTCACGTCTCGGCGGACGAGCGTGCCACGTCTCCGCTGTACGTTAAGCTGTTGGCAGGCGCCGCGACTGGCGGTATTGGAAGTGCACTCGTAAACCCCATGGATCTCGTCAAAGTCCGTATGCAGGCGGATCGCTCTGGTACTCGCTACAACAACAGCTTCACCTTTGCGTGCCGTCAGATCTACACACAGGAGGGTCTTGTTGAGGGCTTCTACCGTGGTGTTACTGCCACAACGTTCCGTGCGATGGCTCTAACAGCAGCGCAACTGCCCAGTTATGATCACATGAAGCACACCCTCCTGACGCAGACGTCGCTGGAGGAAGGTATGACGGTGCATATGATCTCGAGCATGTTTGCCGGATTAATGGCAGCCACCGCGTCGTCACCTATGGATGTGATGAAGACTCAGATCCAGAATGAAGCTAAGAGTGGAGGAGCCAACGTCCTTGGTCGCGCTTTCATGCAAGTGGTGCGCACTGAAGGTATCCGCGGCTTTTTTAAAGGCTGGTTACCGAACTGGTTCCGCCTTGGCCCGCACACCATCATTTCACTGATGGTGTATGAGGAACTGCGTTCTTCCATGGGTATCAAGCCCATGTAGGCGACTAGAAGTAGCTAGTGCCGCCATAATGGTGGAGCGCTAATGCGATAAAATCCTCTGCATGGTTGATCATAATAACTGGAGAAGTGAGATGTATGTACAGCACAGATGTTCCTTCCTTACAACTACAAGTACGTCTGAGCAGCTCGTCGGTGTTAATTGCACCGTAGCGAGAAGAGTGGCGCGACGACAGAACTCTCCCAGCGCAACGTCAACAACAACACTTCGCAGAGCCAAAACTGCTCCCATGGATGTTCTACCAACACTGACCCTCCATAGGACATACGACACCCACCCTCTTCGTCTTCCAGCAGTATCCTAAGTGGCAAATAAAAAAAAGTCAATAGCCATTCACTACAACATACAATCAAATACCACCAGCGAAATATGCCCGTCATCTTACCAGCGAAAGTCGTCCTGCCACATCTCAGCCTTCCCCACCATCGCGAGTGTAGTGAAATCGTCCTCGAGTCGCGAGGGATCCAGTCCATGTACGAGTATAATGATTCCCTTCTCCGTTTCGAAGCGGGTGAGTAAATAGAGGCTTTTCAGCACCACATCGTGATCCGCCTGGTTCACGGTGCGCATACACACGACGTTGTTCATGTCAACATGTTGCACGATGTGCACGTCCACGTTCAGGAACACGGAGAAGAAGCGGCTCGTGCTCTTCATGTCTGTGGCGAGCTGCCACGTATTCTCAGCCAGCTCTGCGGACGATCGATTGGCAAATAACTTGGAGAAACAGTAGCTCATGACGCCGTCATCGAGTCTCCTCCGGTCCGTCCAGCCGAAAGTTGTCCCTTTGTGCGGTTTATGGCGCTGTTTCTCGATGTCCGCCATTATTCGGCCGTACGCGACGCGGTTGATCTCGAGGCATTCGTTAATTTTGAATTTCCTCCAGACCATGAGCTGTGTGCGCTTCGACATGGTGTTGTTCTCGTCATCGTCTTCAGCGTGAACATCCATGAGGTGTTGAAGACTTCCGTAAGCCTTGGCGAAGGTCATTTCTCGGTCTCGCAGCGACTCATTCTCTTCGTACAGCGTTTTCCGCACACGTGCCAGCTGTAACAGCCGCTTCTCTCGACTAGCAGGAGGCTCGTCCGCCGCTACCAGTGGCAGTGGTTCGACGGTCTCCAACTCACCGAGAGATTCAAGCTCCTCCAAAGGCTCCAACGTCATGTCCAACAGCGACTGCGTGTCGGACTCGTTCAACGTCTCACTGAAGGCCTGTGCCGCGTGGAAAGCCGCTCTGCGCTCCTGCGCCAGCAGCAGCCGCTCGTATTCGTCTTCGAGGGTCTCCACTTGCGCTCGCAGCTCATTCAGATTGAACTAGATAATAATTAGTCAACGCACAGCGCGTCTATCACTCTGCTGCCACTCAGACCACGTACAATTTTGCGGTAATAGCTCCGGCGCACTTTGCTTCGGTTGCGCTCGCGTCGGTGCAGCTCCTGGGGCGACAGTTGCTCGGACGCCACCATAGTTACTTATGGGATGGAGATCACTGCAAGGACGAACGAACAGCACTGCCGCCGACTGTCGGCGACACGTGAACCAGGGCACATAGTTGGACGAAGTGGTTGAATATCGGAGCAGGACCTTTATGAAAACATACGGGCTGAAAACGAATTGATACGTTAAGTATCTAACATTGCAGTTGAATAGTGAAATATCGTCAACCCCGTGTCAAGGGTACCCACAAAAATAATATCACTTGAATTTCAGCTCCAGCTTTCCACAGCGGAAAATGACACGCCGTGATGGACATCTCTGCATGAGCAGTGGGGGCCTGAATGCGTGAAGCACCGACGCTTAATGTCTTTGAGACTGGATATGGTGCAATGTACGGTGGTGCTGCCTGGCTCGGGGCGCTATCACCCGTTCATCTGGAGAGGCGCAATCGGTGATGAGTGAGCAAAGCTCTGTCTTCGCCTAGCTGCTCTAGCTAAGCGGCTCGCCCAGACCGAGGTTCTGCTCCCAGCGCAGGGCGATCTGGAGGTTCTCGAACAGCCAGAAGGAGCGGCTGCGGTCGCCCATGTTGTTCATAATGCCACCGTGCACGACTTTAAGCTTCTTCTTCTGGTTCTCCACGCATACCTCCTCGCTCTTGTTATTGTCGTCCACGGGCATCTCCTCGATGTTGATCCAGTACATGGACTGCCGCCACTCCTTCTTCTTCTGCAGTGCGATAGCATCCCTGAACTCGACGTGGAGTGTGTGCTCCTCGCGGCGCAGGCCTTTGCAGATAATGAGGCAGCCCGAGTCGTTCGGGTGAGGGATTCGCGTCATGATGATGAGCGCTGTGGTGATCGAGTCCTCACCTTCCTTCTCCATTGTGCGGTACAGCACGTAGCTGTTATTGTCGAACTGCTGCATGATATGGAAGCGTGTGTGCAGCGCTGGCGCGTATAGCTTCGAGTGACGCTCGGGCGACGTGAGCGTCTGCCATGCTGTGCGTGCTACTTCAGAGGCGCTCGTGTAGGAGCTGTGACCGAAATTCTTCTCAAAGTAGTAGCCGAAGGAGTTGTCCTTGGCCACGTGAGAGCACGTCCAGCCGAGTGCCGTGTCCGTCGTGATCATGTGGTGACGACTGGCAACAAACGCCTCGAATGTGCGCTGTGCGTCCTGCGCAAATTTATTGAAGCTCTCGAAAGACATTTCGTCCATAATAAGCATAGGCGTCTGCACAGGACGGTCCTGGTTGTCATCCTCAATTGGTGCGGCGATAGAGTGGTCCATGAGCTGATAGTTCACATCAAAGAGTCTCTGGAAACGGAACGAGATCTTCTCGCGATCTTCGAATTGTTCGTGAAGCTGTGTGTTCTCCATCCAAAGTCGGTCGCGTAGTCTCGAGAGCTCCAGGTATCTCTTCATGAGGCTGGACGGGTCCTTGGCCGTCTCCGCCTTCTCTCTTTCCGTCTTGTCTTCCCACTGGGCCAGCAGTCTGTTGTACTGCTCCCGCAAATACTCGGTGTGTGCTCTTAGCTCCCCCAGCGTCTCCTACAAAAAAAATAGTCATCCACAACGGTGGTAGAACGTTGTTAGGGCTCATACACTGTAACGGGTGCAGACTAGCAGCGTCAGTATCGTACAATCTTGCGGTAGTATGAGCGCTTGACCGAATCGCGGTTCTTCTCGCGTTTGAGATCGTCAGCAGGAGAGGCCAGCGCCAATGCCTTGCGGTGACGGATGCCCGTAGTGCTGGGGCCAGCGGTCTTGAGGTTGCGCTTGCGCTTCTTTTGGGACATCTCCTCGGCCAACATGCTCAGCAGTTGACTCGTGATATCGTCGTCGTCGTCGATGGTGCTGAGAGGCGGCGGTGCCAGCGGCATCTGCTCTGACGACGATGAGACCTCCTCTGAGGAGGACGAGTTTCCGCCTCCGATCTCCACCTTGGGCTCGAACGCAGCTTCGATGTCCAGCTCCAGCGCCGCCATATCGCTCTCCATCGTCTTCATGGTGCTGCGTTCCCACCGATTCTCTTGCTGTCGTGTAGTTTAACTTATGCGAGAGGAATAGGTGACAAGGGAATAAAACAAGTTGCACCCGTTTTTTGGCACACTTTTATTTTGACCAAATGCTTTGTAGTGAATATCATCCAATCATATGGCCTGCACATCGCTTTATCTCCCCCTGGAAAGATATTTGAATCAACTTGTGCAGGGCAATTGGTGAAATGAGCAGCATGTTTCTGCCATCACCTCCTCGAAGGAGATTCTTCGCGCTGCGGGGTTTACCCCCAGCTGGAGGCGGTCACACCCCAGGATACATGTAGTGGACTTACTGTGGCATGACAGAACGGCTCGGGTATTTTGTACTAAGAAAAGAATTTATGAAAAGTTATGAGCAACACCAGCTGCAGCTGGGTGGACGGCGACGCCCCAAGCAGCCTGATTCTCGCTGCACGCAGCAAAGCACATGATCGGGAGCCTGGACTCACGCGCGCCGTCCTCCAGTCCGGTGGACGCCGATCCTGCTCCGCAAAAGCACGGACGGCCCGGGCCAGCGGAGCTTTGGACTTGCAAAGACACCCGTCTGCGCTGTCTGGTTTGTGTGCACCAGCGAGGTCGCCGAGAAACGCGCCAAGTTGGCGACCAACATCATGGTAAACGGATGCCAGCTGGGGATCGAGTGTGTGCTGTGCGAATCTCGCCCGTTCTATTGTAGAACCCTACCGGTACACGAGCTCCTCCCGTTGTCACAACGGTTGTGCGCTCAGCATCTTCTTCAGCGGCGTCCTCCTCTGCCGGGGTGATCGTCGGACTTCCGCTGTTCACGGGCTGAAGGCCTCCTATCTCGCTTGGAGCTACTTTGTCGTCTGGACTATCGTTTGCTCCAGATCTGATCGCGCCATATACGCTACACCTTCAAGCAGGTAGAACAAAGCGTCTAATTAGCCAGAGGTGGCTCACGACAGCTTCCGAGACGACGGTGTTTTCGCATGTGTAGACTCACCTACTTGGCATCTCGGTGAATGCTATGCTCGTTGATTAACGCTAGAACTTCATGTAGAATGGCTTGTTGCGAATAGCGAGAAAGATACATCTGCGTGGAGCTCAAGTGACAATTCCTATGACAAGGCAATCAAACTGTGAAACGTGAAAAGAGGTGCATGTATATTCAGCTACAAAGCCGACGGCATCGATTGATTTCTTAAATGGTGAGTCGACGGCTATCGGACTCAACCTCCTCTCTCTCGTTAAATAGTAAGCGGATCCCGCCTGCTTGACCGGATGGGGGCGGCATGCAGGGTACAACACGAGGTAGATTTTGCTCCAAGACAAAAACAGCGTTGCTCTCCGGGAGACGCTCGATACAAACATGATGGGGCTTGTGAAAAACTGCTGGTCGACCAACCTGCGCTCATCGCGTGGGCTCGTAGAGCTGCTGCAGACGCTGACGGAAGAGGTGGCGGTCCGCGAGGCGCAGATTTAGTCGCTGCTGCTCCTCAACCAGCGAACTCCGCACGATCGTGAGCTCAGCGTACAAATCCTGTGGTGTGATGTGGCGCTTGCCGTCGCGGAAGGCCTCGGCGGAGTGTTCGTTGCGCTCCTGCCAGTGCTGAAGCACGGTGGCGAATTCGCCCTCGAGCTGGGCCACCTCCTCGCGTAGATTCTTGAGCGCCTCGCGCTTCTTGTAGTAGCAGCGCTTGACAAAGAGTCGATTCTTGGCTTGCTTCTCCTCGTTCGAGAGCCGCTTGGTCGAGAGAACTTTGGGGCTACTGCGCTTCTTGAGCTTCCGACAGGGACTGGGCTTGCTGAGCTCCGACGAAGAGGAGGAGGAGGCCGAGGACAGTGGCGTGTGATGCTCCGCGTTCATGTCGGCCATGTCGAAAAAGTCGAGCGAAATGGAGAGCGGTTGCACGGACGGCGGCATGCTCGGCATGGAGTACGTTGTGGTGGCGATGGCGGTTGTAATGGTTGCTAGTGTGGGTCCGGCCTCGAGACGGGCAGGTTGAAGACGATTGTTGCTGTAGCGAGTGAATCCAGGAATGAATTCTCTCCGCTCGAAGGCCGCGCCATGATACCGCCGACGGTGAAGCCGATCGCAGGGAAGGAAACAATGCAATTGGAAGAAGAGGCCGCGAGCATGCTGACCATTATTGCAACATTCGAAGGTTAACACGCCTCGCTGTACTGTAGAGAATAAGATTCTGCGCCTCGCTATGCGCGCAACAAGTCCAAGAGTGACACAGTTCGGAACAACTGCTGGACGGTTTGCAATGGCGACCCGCTCTTGCTCGCCCCAAAGTCTCCGCTGGGAACTTTGCAGCCTCCGATGACGAGCTGCCAGCTTCAGCTTCTTCGGAGTATCGTCCAGCACCATGGCGGAAATGGATCTGTGCCTGCGCAAGTGGCGGGTCCGCTTCGGTGGAAGGAGTGGTCAAGTGCATAAAGGCTTGATCCTAGAAGTCGCAACGCCTCCAAAGTATGTCGGATATATCCACTTGCTCTGCGCGTTCGCGCCTGTCAGACGTTGCTCCTCAATCGTATCGTATCGCACGCCAGACGGCGTGATTCGCTCGCCGGCCACTTCAACGCCAGTCGGGGGCCGGAGAGTTGGGGTCCTTTTTGATGAAAGTTGGGCACTTTTCAGTGAGAGTTGGGCTTTGCTTCTTATTCGCGTGGGATATCGTCCACGTGGCGTAGGGTGCACTACAGCACTATATTCTCCCACACAGGGACGGGCAGTATGGTCATCGCCGAGTTCGTGTGCATTCATTCGTGGCCGACGCGGCGAAAAGAGGCCAATGCGTCCAGCAGCTTGTTGCACCTTCAAATCCGAGTCACTGGCGCATGTGAGATGCGAGCTTTAGAACTTTCGCGATGCTCTTTTTTCGAGCAAAAGCGGCGGCCGTGACTCATTCTTGGCTTGCGCTCAAAAACTAGCGAGCGAGCGGCGACGGCACGACCGGCAAAGACAAGCTCGCCAACATCGAATATCGAATGTGGAGCGAGGAAAGCCGCATTACTACGACGGAGTGGCCAAGTGCAATGCCGCCAATGGCGACTTTATTCGCTTAGCAGTAGCCAGCACACTTCACCACGAAGTGTTCTCGATGCGCTTGTACCGACTTGTACTAGCTCGATACAAGAAATCCGGTGGCTCTCGCCTTCACATTCCCTGATATCTGCATTCTCTTCATCTTGCAGCATACGAACCTTCTAGGGAATTAATGTGAAAGTACGGTCGTGCTGACAAGCACTGCCTCAATTGTGGTTGTCGATGACAATATTGTGGGAGGGACCCGCACGAGGCAAATACTTTTTATCGGTTTTTTCTACAATGTGAACTATAGGTTAGCTCATTATATTAATCCAACCGGATACAAATTTTGTATTCAGTAACGTTATAATTTACAGTGTCGTTACGAAGATCGCATACATCGGTAAGTTCATATTGCGAACGTGGTGCTCCGTTTGATCCGTTAACCTTGGCCGTACATCCTGGTGTCGCAAATTATTCATATAATACGCTGCCGTCCGCATGCAGCGAGCTCAGTACCGAACGACACTGAACCTGTCGATTCATCTGCCGTTTCGGGGTCTGTGAAGATTGTTATGACTCGTTTTACAAGGTCTGACTGATTCCCGATCATCACTTTCGTTGAGAATTCCTATTGATCCGTGTTGATCCTACGATACGTTACATCTAGTAACAAAATGAGCCATTCAGGACTTGCTGAGCCGTGGACGATCGCAGAAATCGGAGTTGCAAGCCAACGTGCAAGATAAACAAAATGATTCTCAGCGAGGCTGTGATAATTTGCAAGATTCGCGAATATGGATGAACTTCAACTTGAAGCACATCACTCTTGATCATCACTCTAACAGCAGCACAAGCAACCCTTTGGTATGGATGCTTTTCGCCAAAACATAAATTGGATGGATATGAGCTTAAGCTGTCCAAGCTGCCATACTTTCAAGTCATAAATGGTGTTCAAGCTTCCAACATACTACATTAATTCATATACCATCGCTAGATCTGTTCTTACAGCTAAAATGCTAGGTTGATCAGACTGCAACTATGTACAGAAGAAGGTATCACTCGCAGATGCATTATGTGTATGGCCTTGATCAGCTTAACATTTTATTCAGCGCTAGCGGTAGATTTTGTCTCGCAAGCATCCGTACATGGCTATCATTCCGATTCATTTATACCAAACAAAGTATGGTACCAGTTCACGGTTGATTTACAACACTCTCCGTTTAAGTAAAACTGTCCTTCATGGCGTCACGTTCACCGCGACAAAGTACCGCTGTTCGGAGTCCCAAGATGACGGATAGCGTGTCGTCCTCCCCCACTTCTGGCACTGAATCGATGGAGGCGGCACGCAAGCGCAAGCACCGTGAGCTAGTCAAGCGCCAGTACTACCAGAAGCTGGTGCGATTTGTTCGCGTTCATGCGCGGAGATGTAATTTTTAACACCTCGTTAAATTCAAATGATATGCAGGAAGTTCTGGAGGAGCTGAGGCGGCAGGAATACACGCTGGCCACGCAGCACTCGGTGCTGTTGCGTTACGTGCAGTCTCGACCTCCAGTGGCGACGCTGGGAGGTCCTACAGCTTCAGTGCGGCTTCTTCACGAAAGATATGTGCAAGCTACACGCGAAAAGGAAAAGCAATTGAAAGCGAACGCAACACTGCGACGCATGCATAGTCAACACCTGACGTTCCACAAGAAGCTGGCTGCTGCAAGTGTGGCACAAGAGCGTGAGCGTCAGTCTGAACGGGACGAGCAAGGTCGAAGTCAAGAGGAACCTAGACAGGAACCCGAATCGAGTTCAAATTCGCCTGCCAGTCTGAAGATGAAGCCCGTTACTGCTGACGCATGCTACGAAGTCATTCGAGCGGCATACGCAGAGGTATGTAGCTTTCGGACAAGTCGAGATCTCTACACGTCCAATGCGGAGGTGCTGGGCTGGACACACCGCTATCGTCTCGAAGGAGAAAAACTGCAGTATTGCATTTGCAAGTTCTTTCCTGGACGTACGGTGCAAGAAATCTCTGATCGCGGGTGGGCTGTTATGACCAAGGAAAGTTCATACAAAGCTCTCCATTCAAGAGGGATGACCTCCAACCTGCACGACATCCAAACGGTAAACGAGGACAACCGCGTCTTCTGCCGTGAGCTGCAGCGACCTGGACAAAATGCAATCATGAAGACCTTGTTGTTAATGTCCCGTTTCGAGACTGAAGATGGGTTGATGACGATTTATCGCGCACTGGATCATGAAAAGTTCAGATTTACTGGGGTTGTTAGTCCTAAAAATGAAGGCAAGCGGACTTCGAGAGTACCAGAACCGCGAGTTGTTTGGCTCGATATGTTTGCATGGACGTCGTTTGAGAGCCGAAGCGATGGATCTGGTGTGGATTTCCACTTTGGTGGTGAGATGAAACATTTTTCAGCAGACAACGCCAAGTTCTGGATGATGGAGGTACTGCTCATGGCTCTCCGCTGGGAAAGTCGAACGATGGGGCCCCTCGTTACCTTGCACAGTTAACCCAAAACTAAACGAGATGAATTCAACGCGTCAGTATTTAATATTTAGGTAGGTACTGTTTGCTTGCCTACTGCACTCGCAAAAATACAAAAACTCACAAGATCCCGCTCACTCTGCTGTGAGTGTGAACTGTGAACCTACAGCCATGCTCTCCCATCGAACCGCAATGAACAGGACTTCGCGTAGCCAGAGAGTGGTGGTGGCAGTCCCGCCAAAGTGAAACAGACACTTCTTGGGTTCCTTCGGTACGTTATAAAATAAAACCCAAATGTACTTTTCGATCCACATCTCGGACGATGCCAACTCGAGCGCTGTAGTGGCGTCAACATGGACTTCTGGTACGCCGCCGACGTCCACCTCTTCGAAGTGCACAAGATCCTTATCGATAGACCGAAAGAGAAGCAGATAACCCTCTTCAATCTGTCTCCTGGCAAGCAAGAAGACTGTTTTGACTACTCGGGTGCTGTCTGCTGGTGTAGTAATGTGCCGGTAAAAGAGTATCGTATCAGCGTCGATATGCTGTAGTGCATGGAACCGGACATCCAAAGCAGAGCCGTAAATTTTCGAGAACTCGTCTGGATTAGAGAATATTTCCCAGCTCCGTTGTAGCAAGTCTCGAGGGGAGAGACCAAACTCCTTCTGTAAGGCAAACTTGAGGGTGTGTTCGTGAACCTCACGTTGATCCATCCACCCCAATACACGAGCACCAGTGCTGAGTTTCTCCGGACTACGAGCGAAGCGCAGTACGTCGTTTGTTGCATCATTGATAACCTTAGTGTAGGCTGGAGTCGGTAGGGGGCGAATACGGTACTGGCGAGCCGTGGAGATTCCAGGCAGCGGTACTTTGGCTGCCTCATAGGCGTCCAGCAACTGACCCATACGGCTCTCGATTTTCATGTGATACGCATTGAGCTGGTACAGTCGACCATTCTCTTGCTGATACACTTTCTTAAGCTCCGTGGCCTGTAGGTACTTTTGCATCGTTGGTGTCTGAGGTCCAGTGGAGCTGTCCTTATCGCTCTGTTGGCTGTTTCCGCTTCCCGATATCAGCAGGGCCGCGTATTGCTTATCCAGCACGTCCAGCTCACGTCGGAGATTCTCGAGCGTTGTCTACCACAAACGCCTCGATCAGCAAATATGGCAAATATAAGTTTTCAATCTGCAAACACACGGCCTACGAGTTTCTTCTTGTACGATTTCTTGACGTATTCCCGGTGCTTAAGGCGCTTGCGCTCCGACAGCTTGGCAGCTGTGACGGCCGCGATCGCTGCGGTTGGCGGCGTGTCGGGCTCCATTTGCCACACAAGACAGTCGAGTCTGAACTTCTTGCAACGACAATGCAAATTTGACGGTAGTTTTTTTTAACGAAACATTCAAGTTGAAATATGAGACTACAGCTCAATTAATCTCTGAAATATGACGATAGCTGTTGACGGTGGATGTTGGCGTGATAGCGGCAGACAAAACGCGTGACGACAGGATCAGCAGCACGGTTGCTTACATGCAGCACATTACATGCGATGCCGTCCACGATACATGTATAATCCTCGTACTTGTGTAGATTACGTGGGAGTACAATCCAATCTTGAGAGGTTCAGCAAGTGCAGAGCTCGGCAGTGCGAAGGCGTGATCAAAAGGTAATGACTTGTGTTGAGCTGCATGACTTCCTTGTCGTGCTTTCCATGTCATCTTCAACAAGGACGTGGAAGGAAGTGTGCAATATCCCCGATATTATCGAGCGGCAGGGACAGATAATTAACGCTTCCGAGAACTCAACGTGCTGCCTGTCCAGTAAACGTCTCAAGTGTTTCCACCTCAGTTTCTCGCCAACACCTTCACCCGGTGCTTTCGAGTCCTACATGGCATTGCCGTCAATGCAGTGCGCAGTGACATTATAATATCGCCGCGCACGGATCACTGATACAGCATCCGACTCTGTTTACACTTCAACGGAGTTTCCCGATTTTTACAACACAGTCGCCAGTCAGATGTAGCCCATCTCGCCACTTTCACTTTCGCTCGGACGTTCAGAAATGCATCAGTCACCAGAGTTTAAGCCTTTGTCCATGCCAGTTCCTAGCGCGCCGGCCAGCGACGATACCCTCCTCAGTGATATCCTGGCCTTCGTCGACACATTTCCGGCAGATAGCGAGCAGCTACTGAATGAGAATAACGATACAAGTAACGCCAAGCCCGGCATCGAACTTCTTGATGACGATGGCAACTCAGCAGCCGTCACTCCTCAGTCGAAAGAGGAGCGAAAACGCGAGGCCAATCGACTGAAAGACAGGAACAAGTACCTTAGAAAAAAGGTGTGTATACCGTCAAGAAGGTCCCTTTTAAGTCGGCGCTGACAATTGCTCACTTCTACAGGAGAGAATCCCAAAACTCCAAGCGGAAGTACAGCAGCTGACCAAGATACTCGAAGACTACGAACGCGGCCAGGCTCTACAAAAGCAACAAGGTGGTACTTCCTTAGCGTTACAGAACGAGAAGGAGCAGCAGCTTATTAATCTCTCCCAGGAGAAGAACGAGCTGCTGGTCGAGAACGCTCAGCTCCGCAAACAATTCCACCGAGCCACGGCCTTGGCCACTAACCTGCAGCAAATGCTCAATAACGAGCACAAACTGTATCTAGCAAACTCATCGTACTTCCTCGTCCTCAAACCACTCACACCTCTCGACTGTCGGAGAGAGCTGAGAAGGTCGCTCGATGTCATAATGCCGAGCTATGGCGTCGTGAAGAGCATGAATCGAGCACGAGAGATCTGTGGCTGGAACGAGAAGCGTCTGACTGAGCGGTCGGACTTCCACAACTGGAAATCCAAGCTGATCCGAGGCAAGTCGGCTCGCTTCGTCTTTAATCAGACGTGGGAAGTCTTCTTGGACCCGTTTCGGACAGAGAAGTTGTTCGCACCGATCATGAATGTCCGCTGTCGACTCGTACAACGCGTGGACGATGATAATGTTCTCTTCTGCTACGACCACGCTGCCTCGCGTGTCTTGTCCGAGAAGACGGACATTCCTTCAGCAAGTACGATGGCTTTGGTGACTCGAGTCTTCACTGGGACTGGCCACCTCATCATCACTCGTGGACTGCGACGTGGGAGTGTGGAAGTGCAAGATTTGCTTCGATCGGGAGCTACAGACCGCAGACGTGAGATCTGGCTGGAGACGTTGACTTGGTACGTCTCTCTGATCGACTCAGCGTAGCCTCAAGCGAAGTGTTTTGACTAATGAACATTGCAGGATTCAATTCGAGCAGCGCGGACAGGACTGCGAGGTGACCATCGGCGGGATCACGCCTGCGCTTCGCCAGAGCTCCTACTTCTGGATGGTCGAGTGCGTTCAACTGGCACTTCGGTGGGAGATGGCTGTCTTTGGCCCGCGGTTTCGAGCGACGTAGCGGCTACCAGCTTGACACCAACCCAACGACCGAGTCAGAGGCGTGTAGCCTGCAGGTGGTGCGAAATGGTTAAGGAATACTACTACTACTATTACTAGTAATTCTGAAGTAGTTTTTGCGTGAGACAGAAGTGCCCAAGGATTTAGCGGGGCTGCTGCAGGAAGGTGTCACTCGAAATGAGCAATTCAATTACGTTTGGTTCATTTCGCACCGTCGAAGTTAAACTTGCTCAGTCAGCTCGGTCTCTGTTGAGGAATCCCGGTTTCTGCTGAGTGGCTTCGATGCCCTCTACACGGATTCTTCAGCTCGATCGATGCTGTGTTATGCGTTCATCGATGAATTTGAGCCTGGTCGCCTTGAAGATGAAGACAATCCTGAACGATAGCACGCGATGCGGGGTCTTCATGCGGGAATGGCCCCACTGGACCAAGAGCTAAGATGAATCCCTTCTCAACAAGATCGATCATGTCGTCAAGTGCGAATACATGTACTGGCGACTTCAGTGGCAATGGAAGCATAGCGATCGCTATTACTCTAAGTGCTCAGAGATAGCAATATTCAATTGATTGGGTTGCGTGATATCCTGAAAACGTTGAGCATCAGCTGTGTCTGGTACTCTCCACACCCGGAAATCGATAGCTTCGGTTTTGAGTCGAGAACAGACTCGTGTGTCTGTGCTGAACTGAGAAACGCTTCACATCGGCATCCGAAAGATGAAGTCACCCATGCTGACTTCAGGCAAACCTGGCGAGTCTTTACCACTCACTGGAAGAAGCTCTTCTGCTGTCGCCTGGTGCAGCTTATCGATGAAGGAAACATTCTCTTTTGCCAGAAATATTCGCCTACGCCAGGCAAGACCGGCGCCAATGCAGTCAAGATGATAGCGTTGGTGTCCAGAGTCTATACGAACACAGGTACTTGATCACTATCCGAAGACTTCGAGGTGAGTCGGTTGAAGCGCAGATCACCATTGAGTGACCCGCAAAACGAAATCGGCTGGACCATTTTGCTGAAACTCGAAAAATTCATCCGTTTAAGGTTAACACCATTGTCCATTGTTGTCTCCATCTCCACGGGTTCACTTTGAGCTAATCGAAAAGCACTGCGAAGTGACTATCGGTAGTGTTTCGCCTGCCCTGCGCGCCATATCGTACTTCTGAATAGCTGAGTTTATTCAGTTCGTCTTTCGCTGGGAAGTGGTCGTCTTTTGGCCACGGTTTGTCTTGTCAGAATGACCGATAGCACACGGGTCTGGGTCATTCTGGTTATCGAAAAGCAAACGCGTGTAGCTGTCAACGACATATACGTATTCTTCCACCGCACGAATGATAAATAGTGTTCATTGCAGTATCGATGCAGTTGTCGCCTATTTACACCGCTGCTACGGCCTGGGGGAGAATGAAGACCGGCCGAGCCACAACACTGTCGCCTTCGGCCTCAATGTGCAATTGACTAGGACTCCACGGCATCGTCCCTTGCTGGTCAGCAGCACTGTCATCATCGTCTTCTCCAGGAACCACCACGACCACAGCGGGTGGCCCCACAACTGCATCCACAGGCACTGGTGGTGCTCCGACATTGCGTACAATAATCACCGGCATCTCCACTTTCACACTCTTGCTCAGCATGAACCGGCACTTGACCTCCAGTCGGTACTGCCATCGAACGAACGCGGCGCTGTTAGTGGGAGCAACTGGCAGTCCGTTCACCTCGTCAATGAGAGGCAAGTACAGCATCTCGTCCAGCAGTTGACCAGCTGCCACACCGGGGAAATCTTGCGTGCACACAACGCGCGTGCCCTTGCTCGGCCGGCGGTTAGGCAGCTCCACGGTCAGATCTTCGTACAGCAGCACTGAGAGATTGTGCATATCGCGCGACGAATAATTACTGATACGCGTCTGTAGCGACAGCGTCGAGCCGGAGAGGTGGACGTCGCTGTCCAGACACGCCGAGACTTCGCAGGCGCCTTTGGACTTCATCAAACTCAACAATCGCACTTCGTCGGACGATGACTTCTGCAGTGAACGCACAGGGTGACACAGCGACGGCCGGTGCACGGCGAAGTCGTGCGAAGTCTTCAGATCGGCCACCAGTTTGCCTTGCAGACTAAGTCGAGCCTTGATGGTGTAAGAAACACTGGCGTTCACGTCGCGCATGGCTCCAGCAAAACCCTCCGTCACACGGAACACTGGAGGCAGCGTGTCGTCCAGCTGGTACTGGAACCGGAAGCGATACTCGCCAGGTTCGAACGCGAGCGGCATTGGCTCGATAAGCTGAATCCGGTCGCACAGGAAGTCGTCGCGCATGTTACAGGGAGCAAGCGAGTGGTTGGCACCTTCCGACCACGTGATGGCTTCAGCTCCTTCCACGTGCAGTGAGAACTCCTCGCACTCGATAGGCCGCGAGACTCGCAGTACCAATTGGCCTTGCACCAGGTCGCCGGCGGCGTAGCTCTCGCGATGTAGCATCACGCGAATGCTGCCCTTGACGCCGATGCCCAAGCACTTGGCTACCTTCCCCATTGCGACAACTGGTATGAGAGATTCGCTTCGTTGTCACGTGTGCTGCACTTTCAGTTGTGCACGGCGCGAGGCTGGGAACCGCCACCGGGCGGGGATCTCGCGACGTAGGCCAGTCAAGTGCAGCTCATCGCCAATGAGTACAGACACGATACGAAAGCTGAAGTGGTGTCAGAGACACCACACACATCTTGCGACTCCCAAGGTGAGGCCTGCGATGCGACCGCATGATGAATTCCTTCCCTCCTCCCGGCGTGTCTCGGCTGCTTCGGCATCGTGCTGCAGCCTGCAGGCCTCGCAGCATCTCTCGATGCAGGAAGTCGCGCTTCTATTTGCATGCCGCTAGATGATCTTGCTTTCTCTACCTAGCAGTTTCTTGCAGCCTCTGTAGTACACGAATGTATCTCCAAAGCTGCCGCGATTGTCAAAATGCAGTTCAAAATCCACGCCATCTACGGCTTCATTATCCTAAGCGACACTACTGCCAGTTGGGCTCCTACTTTCACTACACTCCCGTCGCCAAAAGATGTTTGGGCGATCTGTCAGCACCTCATCTCGTCCTAATATATATGCTTTCCCCAAGTAAATACGTCACCACGTTCACGGACTGTGAATCACACTTGCTGTCTAGTCCAGTGGGGCTGTGGCCGACCGAACCGAGTTCCTGGAACTTCTGGAACTCCTCGAGCTCCGTCCGTCGCTGGCTGATTTTCTCCTGGGCGGAACAGCCACCGCTTGCATGACATCCACAGACGGAGAAGCGGTCGTAGCAGCTACCGCCGGCAGCACAGCAGCCGTGGGGGCGTAAGCGCTTCCAAGCTCCAGCTTTCGGAGGATTTCAACTGGGAAGTCCACCGAGACGCTGCGACAGAGGCGGAACTGACACTTGATGACGAGGCGATACCTGGTCTTTAAGAAATGCGACTCGATAGCAGCAGACACCGGTCGAGACGGCGACGTCTTGGTAACCAGAGGCAGATCCAGCACCTGTTCGAGTGTTTTTCCTGCCTGGACACCCGGGAAGTCTCGGCGACTGACACACGTGGACCCTTCCGACTTTTGGTGCGACGTACCCAAGTCCACCGTGACGTCCTCATACAGCATCATACACAGTTTCTTCATGTCCTTCGAAGTGTCGTTGTGGACACTGGTCTGTGCCAGTAAAACGTCTCCCGCTACGTGGACGTTGCTCGGCAGTTGCGCCGACACGGAGCACGTTCCTTTCTTCATGAGGCGCAGCATGTGGATCTCACCCGACGCTGATTTCTCCAGCGAGCACACTGGCTGGCCAATAGGCGGTTGTTGTACCACGAACGTTTTCTTAGCCTCCATGTCTGCAGAGAACTTGCCTTTGACTGTCATAACTGCAGTCGCCGAGTAAATCAGCGACGCGTCGATGCGGCTCATTACACCAGCGTCGCGACCCGAGATGTGGAACGAGTTGGGAAGCGTGTCAGCCAGCTGGAAGCAAATGGGGTACACGTACTCTCCCGGTTGACACGACTGTTGTTCGGCACTCAGGACGATCTAAAGTAGATCGGCCACAGTGTTAGAGCGTAGGAATTAAAATCATACAATAGATTTAGTGAGTATCACACCTCTTCGTCCAGATGCAAATGCTCTCGCAGATATACGGCCGCAGCCTGACCGCCACCTTCAGTCCACGTGAGGAGCTCCTTGCCTCGGATGCGCACCACTAGCGACGTGAAGTCGAGCGGCTCCGTAACGCTGAGCACCACACTACCGTGTAATAGGTCGCCTGCGAGATAATGCGAGCGATCTAGCGCCACACTGAGGTTGCCTTTCACGCCGAGACCTAGAGCTTTCGCCATTTTGCCCATGTTGTTAAGTGGTCGGTTAGGATTATCGAGCAAATTGCAGAGTGAGACCATACTACGCGGTGCAGCAGCTTGAAGGCAAAGTATGACTTACTCTAACAATGCCTCGACTTTCAGCCAATCAACGACCATGTAGCAGGGTGGGAAGATGCCCAGCAGAAAGGGCGCTGGCCGTTTTATGGACGGTTTGCAAATCTCTATAAATGAATGAAAAAAGTGAAAAAAGAACAAAAGTACCAGTAATAAATCAGCGAGGAGCTCCAACTCAGCCGGTGGGTCGTGCCTTTGGCAGGACGTGAGATAGTTAAACTAGGTAGCTTCGATTGGGTTATTGCTAGCGCTTGAAACGAAGAAAGTGGACTAAAACTTCTTGGCATTTTATCGTTTTCGATACAACAGCAGGAATACTGTCTATCGAATGTCAGGGTTAATAAAAGTGATAGCGAAAGTCCAGTAAGACATTTTCAATAATAATTTACAAATAATAGAATTATACAGTCGTAAAGCAACTTTGAGTAAACCATCAGAGTCACAACTTATCATTAGATCCTAAAAAGTATAAGTAAACCGTAGTCGAGTCTGAACATGGACCAGACGACATCGCGCATCTTTACAAAGAAAGCAAGGCTATCGCTCCCGTCTTCAAGTATCATACAAAATGTATTAGAGATTCAGAAAATATGGGAAACAGTCGGGCCCAATAGATTTTGTTACTTAGATACAATTTTGTTGTGGGCAAATGACTAACGTTACAATCTCATCGGGCACAGTAACAAAATTGAAGCTCAAGCAGGAAATTTCCTGGGTGCAAAGCCACACTTCGACATGGCTACTTCTGAAGTTCAATTTGCCGCAAATGCTTGATGTCACACCAATGGTTTATTTTGTTGTAGGAGGATGCCTCATATCGTACGAGTCGGATGCCTATGCCATGCTCGCTGGCCTGTCGAATAGCGTTTCCGATGCTGGACTGAACGGCAATGGGTTAGCGTGTTTAATACTTCGACATTTTACATCTGAACATTGAAGCCAGTCGATTACAGGTGACTTGCATCTCCTTGAAAACGCTATTGCAGCTAGGTGGAGCGATCCACAGGGTCAGTTGATGCTTTCGCTCGATATAACTGGAGCAGAAACCCCGATCGGCAGATACTGCACAGTTGGGTGGTGTAATGAGTATGTTCCTGCTCCAGCTCGAAGGCATTATGACGCGACCTGGAAGCTCTGCTCGCACAGCAACCTGCTTTTCTTGGTCTTTAATTATGATACCACCACCACGCTAGTACCCTCGAATAAGCTTAAAGCATGGCGAGCGATCGCGATCGCCGCTGTCGTTGAGCACTCGACTTGTACTCTTAGCATGTCACCTTGACGATTAAGACGACTTGTCCAGTGTCGCCGAAAACCAATATCTCGCGAGAAGATAGTCTACGGATACGGCTAGATGCGCCGAGGGACCGTCTCTAGTCCCATGATCTCAATAGAATCTTATCCTATTTGAATGACGACCTCCGCTGTGCCTCTAGCTAGCATCATGCCCTGGCCGGCGTTGAAGCCGGCGGAAAAATGCAGTGTAGCTGAGCACTCGCCAGGTCCAAGGCTCGAACACTTCAATTGGAGTTGGTGGGCGACGTGCTACAGAGCTGGTGGGCGACGTGCTACAGAGCTGGTAGACGGCGGGGGAGACGTACTCGCCAGGCCCGTATATTCGCCACGACCAAGTGTAAGCGCAGTAAACACAAGACAATACATGTAACTACTCAATCAGTTGATTTTACTTTAGCTTGTCGTAAGAAACTCATAGACCCCCTCGACTACTACTCCTGTCCCCTCGTATATACATCCCAAGTCTCTGCTTTTAGATTGTATTCTAGCGTTCTGTCGCTGGTTTTAAGCACTCGCCGTTGCAGTGGGCAGGCTGCACACCAAGTAAACGCTGGTTTGCAAGATGTCGCCGGCATGATAATTTTCGCTGTTAGTGCTACGCGCAGTGTCCATTACATGCTGCCGCTCCGAGCGTTGCGCAGTATAGTACTTATGGGAGCACGTCTTGAACTGCAGTATAAATCTAACTAGAGAGGAGGAAAATCTAACCCGGGCAACCCTCGTGTCTTGAAAATCTAATCGTGGTTGGCAACTCAGGGATACCATGGGTGATATCGCTAATTTCGTTGGGTAGACGCTATTCTTTCTCCGCGCTTCTCGTCAGAAGAGGACTGCTCAGCTATTTCACCAGTGACTTCGTGGCTTCGTTCGTTTCCTGATCGACGATCGATTTCGCGTCGACCACAGACGGAGCCTGTTGGAGGGGGGTGTACGTACGAAGATTGATCCCTTGTCATTCGTACCAGCACAACTTCATCGTATCTGGACGAACATCGAGGTCGGAAATGCGGAAGCTATTACTACTTGCATCATGAGCGTGTGCTAATGGCCAACTGAGAAAACACCGAGACACCCAGGGCCTGGGTCCCAGGCACAAGAACGGGCAGAGATCCTGGTTTTTACGGCGTCGACCTCAACAAGCTTGTCGACAGCTCCAAAGATTTTCTCAGAGAGCATTCACCGTCTATCCATTGGCACGAATGAGCAGCTCCAGGACTCTGATAAAGCTGTGTTGCGAAGGGTAGGCTCCAACTTTAAGGTTTTACTCGCCTCTGTAGGTACCCGACGCGCTTCGAAGTCTTTAATAAATGATCTTATGAGAGCATCGGCGCTTGTTTTTTTTGCTTTTGAAGACGCATGAATTCATTCTTTTACTGTGACGCTACGACGCAACGGTGAAGGTGTCATGGTCATTCGCAGAATCGTCAAGGCTTTGATGATGAAGGAGCACTTCATAATGAACTTTATTGCCTGGAATGAAGATGCTAGCAGCAGGCTGCTACTGACGACTGTGGACGATGACGAGTTTCATTCCTCTAGAAACCATTACAGCATGGATAAAATTGTTGTCTGCGCAACAGTACTGTTTAGTACCTGTATGATATCAATACTCTGTTGATGTCCATGCGCTGCCACTGGCAGTGCCAGCGATAGTGCTGGCCAAGCACTGCCGCGATAATAATCCCCACAATCGAACGCTGGGTGTCTGGCTTATCCACCTTCCGCCACGTTGCCCATCAAACGCAGCATCCGCTTTTGTTTGATGTTCGTACGGATACCGGAGCCAGCGCCCGGCCTATCCAGGCAGGATTCCTGTCCGCTTGCTTGCGGTGGGGACACAGTCATGCTCCGCAGTTAGCCTGCAACGCCTCACTTTCACTCTCGTCTTCGTCTCGACAAGCAGATCGGCCAGAGTACACTTTTCTCCGGAGAAGTACTACCAGCACCATGAAGCTCTTCGCACCCCTCGTTGTCGGCGCCATCGCCTTCCTCTCATCGCAGGTCGATGCCAATGGTGTCTGCTACGACCCCAATCACGGCACGGGCATGGACGCCTCGTCGGTGCAGGCCGACATGAAGACCATTGCCAGCCATGGTTTCGACAGCGTGCGAACTTTCATCTCCAAGTTTGGTAACACGGAAATGGGTCCCATCATTGCCGCTGCCGGTCTCAAGGCCATGCTGGGTGTTCCTTACCCGCAGAGCGACTACCGGGAGCAGATGGCTGCCGCCATCAAGGCTGCGCAGGCCGGCGGTGTGTACGCCGTCATGGTCGGAAACGAGAACCTGGCTGGAGCTACCAGCGTCCCCAGCGACATGATCGATGTCATCAAGCAGATCAAGTCGCAAGTACCCGAAGGTGTGATGGTCTGCACGGTGCAGCGCAACACGGAGGTGATCCAACACGAAACCGTGTCGGGCTGGCAGGACCTCGTGAACAACTGTGACTGTATCGGCGTGAATGCTCACCCGTACTTCACCGCCGGCACAACGGCAGACACCGCCATTCAGGTGCTGGACAACCAATGGCAAACCATGGTTAGCACCTACGGTAGCAAGCTGATCCTGACCGAGACGGGCTGGCCTTCGGCTGGCTCCCTCATGGGCAACGTCGGCAGCGTGGCTGGCGCCGAGACGTTCTACAACGCGTATCAGCAGTGGAGCAGCTCGATGAGCAAGAAGTTCTACTTCCAGTTCTTCGACACACCGTACAGAACCGAGCAGTACGAGCAGAACTTCGGTTTGGTGACGTACGACTCGCAGGACAAGTTCAGCATGTCGGTGCAGGCGTCGGTCTCGATCGGTCAGCAGTCTAACGAACAGTCCAACCAGCAGCCCACCCAGGGGCAGCAACCACCTTCCACAGAGGCCCCTACCACTCAGCAGCAAACACCCTCCACAGAGGCCCCTACCACTCAACAGGAGACTCCTGCTACCCAGGCCCCCACGCAGGCCCCGACTGAAGCTCCCACGCCGGCACCTACGGAGGCCCCTACGCAGCCGCCGACGGAAGCGCCAACTCAACCTCCTACGGAAGCCCCCACCCAACCTCCGACGCAGGAGCCCCCTACGGCGGCACCCACCCCGGAGACTACCCCGGTGCCTACGGAGACACCAGCGATCTTCCAGAACTCGGGTTCGGCTGACTACAACACCACCACCTCGGGCTCAACCGAGTCCACCTCGGTGTCGGGCAGCGGTGACGAAGTTGGCAGCTCGACCTCCAAGGCTGCTTCGGAGTCCTCGGACAACGAGCAGCACCAGCAGACTGGCACGACGGGCGTGCAGAACTCGGATCAAACCACGCAGCAGACCACCCAGGATACTACCCCCACCGGTACCAACTCGCAGCCTCAGCAGCAGGACAACGTGCAGCAGGCTAACACTCAGAGCGGCGAAGGCAGCTCTGCGGCACCCGTGATCCTCGCTATTGCTGCTGCTGCCTGCGTTGCTCTGGTGGCCTTCGGTTTCATCTACCAGACTCGCAAGCGCGCCGCGGAGCTGGAGGTGGCCGAGGGCAAGCACGACGGCTTCTCGGTCACACCCATGCAGAACCACTGCGCTCTCTAAGTTCACTCTGAGACTTTTTAAGCACCAGGGACACCGATATCAAGTTTTGTTTAAGCCCTGGCTTTTGCCCTCTTCAATGGAAAATGGCTATGAAGCTTCATACCACTCGTTATTAGTCATGTACGTGTAGTGTTGATCTTCTGTTTTCACTTTAGAGATCGCTGGCTCGTCATGTATTGGGTTTGCTCCACATTTGCGGTCTGGATCGTGCTGTTCTGATGGACAATCGCGATAGGGAAGTCCAAGCTCACGCTGGGGCTCATCAAGAACGTGCACCGTACTTGGAGACGGTAGCTCCATCTAACAAACTGTGACGCAGTCGAAGGCCGCATGGCACAGCCTGATCGCCATTCCAGTAAGTGCAGGGACACCGTCTTGTCCGCTGACTCACCTGCCAGGATACCGGAGAACTCTCCCTCACAGAGGCACGTGGAGGTTTGTGTATCATTCCCTCGTTTGTGATGGAGCACGAGATCCTCGTAGATCCGCAGCGAGAGTGCTCGGACGTTCATTTTGGATAGATTGAAAACCGAACAACGCACCATAACCTTCTCCCCGGGGGTAAACACATCTCGGTCCATGAAGGCTGAGAGTTGACACGTTCCTTTGCGGAGCATCGTCATCAGTAGCACTTCTCTACTTGTCGAACTCTCCAGAGGGCGGGAGATTTGTACTGTCGGGATTGGAGCCACCACAAGTTCCTGTTTCGTCTCCAAGTCAGCTCGAAAAGCGCCCAGCACAGGTTGACGAGCTCTCAGCTCATATTTCACTGCAGCGCGAATATTTCGGAGCCGACCTGCTGATCGATTCGAAAGCTGAAAACTCCCTGGCACCGTAGACTCTAACTGGTAGCGGAATGGGTACGTGTACTCCCCTCGTGTGAAGCTCTCCTGGTCGCATGAAATCTTCAGTTGCTGCTGCAAAAACACCCTTTTATCACGATGATGCGTGCTGTTCTCGCCATGACGTTTGGTCCACGCAATAGTTTCCAGGCCACTGATCTCAAGTACTAAAGCTGTCACCAAAAACAGGCAAAGGTGAGAATTTATCAGCTAAATGACTGAAAAAGTGTCTACTGACCTCCGTTGCAACGGATTTCTTCGTCGACGGTGAGGAAAATCGTGCCTTCAACCAGTTCACCAGCTTGATACCTGCCGCGTTTTAGCTCTAGACGAAGATGCCCCTTTACACCAACACCCAACACTTGAGCGAGCTTCCCCATGTTTGGCAAATTGGCAAGTGACAAAAAGGTTGACTAGGAGGTGAAAGTGGGTGCTAAACGAGAGAAAAATCCTCATTGAAGCCATCTAGAAGTTGAAGCTAAAAAAATATATTGAGGCAATCACTTAGTCCAGGGCCTTAGTCTTGTGATCTGTCATGAGCTGCGACGACGCGGCCGCTACGTCCGTCACCAGTGGAGCCAAAATCTTCACTGGGATCTCAATATGCACGTTCGGGCTCATAAGGAACTTGCAGCGAACTTCGACGTGGTGACTCGTGCTGACGAGGCTTGAGGCCATCGGAGACAGCACTGCGAAGCGCTCGGAGCGTCCAACCAGGTCCAGTGAGTAGGCCTGGTCGATCGTCGTAGCTCCAGCCTTGACACCTGCGAAGTCCTTCTCAGCAAGACAAGTCTGAGCCTTGATCTCTTTTTTATGGTCTCTGTTAGCGTGGATGACAAGGTTTTCCACGAGACGCACAGACACTGACTTGACGTCCATACTCGAGCCGTTCACAACGGAGGCTCGGATCTGCAGCGTCTCGCCAGCAACGTAGACGTCGCGTTCCAGAGACCCCGAGACTTCGCAGTTTCCTTGGCGAATCATGCCCAAGAGCTTCGCGTGTTTTGCAGTGGCATCTGTCCGTGACTGGACGAGTTGCGCCGTCTGCGCAGGCTTCACGATAAGTGGGCGCTCGGCCTTGATGTCGGATTTAAACGCACCCTTCACAGGTAACCTCAGCTTCAGCTTGTACTTGACTGCAGCGTCGATGTCACAAAACTCTCCAGCATGACGACGGTCAACGTGGAAACTCGCTGGCAGCGTGGAGCGGAGCTGGTAGTTGAAAGGGAAGACGTACTCCCCGGGCGCGAACGAATCGCGGTTGTCACTCAGCACCAATTGGTTGGACAGGAGCTGGTTAGACTGCTTGCGCGGCACGGCCGATTCGCCGTACACCTCGTTGTACTTGACGTATTCCTCTCCGTTGATCTCGAGTACTAGAGCTCCTTTGGTCTTGATTTCGTCGGAGACCGACAAGTACACGGTGCCGTTCACTACGTCTCCAGGTTGGTAGCTCCCGCGGTTGAGTTCGATGCGCAGACCGCCTTTCGAGCCGAAAAGTTTGCCCATGGTCAGAGTGGAGGTTGGTATTGCGGTGGATGGAGTGCAAATGTTAAAATGAACGTCACAAATAGAGACTTCACTGCTTGCTGAGTGTGAGTTCCCCGCGTAGAGGGAGGATTTTCCGTCCTGTACATGTAATGGACGTGGAAATCCCGCGCTTGCAGTCACTTTGGCACATCGTGCTTGATAGCATCGAGCAAAAGCGTGACGCCCCGGTTCAAGCGAAGTGTTTTGATGGCTACAACACGAAAAGTTGTTGATTCTCGATATCCACTGTCCGCTAGATCTTTTCAGTTGCCTGTCACAGGCACTAATCGCTACAGTGGTTTCCACACATGAGCGTACGAGGAGGAAGTTCGAATGGATTTCAGAACTGCTGAAGTTGATCGGCGGATTTTGTGCTGAGGCGTTCGCCCGACGATATTTCCACCCCTGCTGGAACGGCGCCATCGATAATGCTCTGAGATTCGTATCTGTCGATACCAGGATAAGCAGATTCCTCATGCTCGAGCCGTTTGATGGTAGCTGCCACCATCAACCGTGAATAATTCACAAGAAAAATAAACCTTACTGATTCGGTTGATGGTGGCAAAAATGTTAGCTCCGGACACACGAATCTTGATCTCCATTTGTAGGCCTGCTGGCGCTTGAATTGAAAGTACTAGTAGTGCTTAAAATCTAAGCTTTGGTGCATGACGGTCAAAAACGGACATCAATGTATCCGACAGATTCGGCAGTCGCGCAGAAGGAGTCGTCGAACACAGACACACATTGAAGGGCTTAAAGCTCAGACTGAGCATTGACTGTTTGGCCGCTATGAATGGGGAGGCGGCAGATTTAGCTGTACCCTCACCGCCCTCAGCTCCATGGATCCCACAACAAGAGATGACGCTTTCAAAAGACTGAAATTATAATAATTTGATGTCTTATATAGAATTCTGTCTCTCTCTCTCTCTATAAAGTCGAGCGTGATCAGCTATTTGTTATCATCAACACGAACACGTTACACGTGGTAAGTCATACGATCGATCCGCCACTCACGTCGCCATTATCCGTGCCAAAGGAAAGGTTAGTCGATCGAGGTTTGCTGTGGTAATGTATTCCTTTTGAGCGCTGCAAACAATGGCAATGGGATTGCGCGACACAACAAGTGGCAAGACGAGTGTGAGCTGGTCAGCAATGCTTATAGTGGTTGACGACATTGTTGTTTGCAGCGAGAGCTTATCGCCGAGAAATTGAAGACATCTATCCGTTGTCGCCGTCGGGCTGAAGAGATCCGATATAAGTTACATCATGAAACGTGGGAGGATAGGCACGCCACGCTGCGACTTTGGAGATGACGCGTGAATTCATTCGTGCCCACCAGGCCCTTCATGGTTATCAATACGCGCAAACCCACAACACTTTCAACCGTAACTCGAGTGTAGCTGCTGTAGGTATTTGCACCGTGCCGCATACGGATGGCATGCTTGAAGACATTGATCTGCGGCGTACCCTGCTCTGCTGGCGAATAGCCGGTCTGTCGGAGGTGACTCGCGACAGGGGGCTCGAAGCAGCGACGGCCGCGCTTTTGACTCCGATACAGTGTCGACGACACTCTTGATGAAGGGCTGGCATGTGCTGGGCGAATATTGACGCGCGCGTCTGCATCTCGTTGAGCGAGCGATGATTTGACTCACGGCATGTGCATTCGCGTCACATTGCTAACGGGCATTTCACGCAGGCTGGCGGACATTACACTTTTGCAAGCCGCACCTGGTCACCACGAACTCTCTCAAGTCGCCCCGATATGACCTTATGATGAACATCTGGAATAGAGCCGGCAGGGACGGCGTCCGCGCGCTGTTCATGCTTGTCACCGCGAGCCACAAAAGTCTCCCCTGTTCCTCCCTTGTCCGTACCACGCAACACCATCGTCGATCGTCTATCGGCTCCTGTTCCCCCCTCGCTTTTTCCTGTCCGACTGGTGCGTTGCAGTCAAGCCTTTCACTTTCACTCTCGCCTTCGGAGCCTGTAGACCAGCAACCACTTTTCCAGGCAAAAGTACTCGTGACCACCATGAAGTTCTTCGCGCCGATCGTCGTGGGCTTCATCGCCTTCTTCTCGACGCAGGTGGACGCCAACGGCGTGTGCTACGACCCGGACCACACCAGCGGCAAGAGCGCCTCGACCGTGCAGGCTGACATGAAGACCATCGCCGGCGCCGGCTTCACCAGTGTGCGCACGTACATCTCCAAGTTCGGTGACACGGAAATGGGCTCTATCATCACGGGCGCCGGCCTCACGGCTGTCCTTGGCGTGCCGTACCCGCAGAGCGACTACCAGGAGCAGATGGAGGCCGCCATCAAGGCTGCGAACGCCGGCGGCGTCTACGCCATCATGGTCGGTAACGAGAACCTGGCTGGCGCCTCTAGCATCCCCAGTGGAATGATCGACGTCATCAACCAGATCAAGTCGCGCGTGTCCTGCAAGGTCGGCACGGTTCAGCGTAACACGGAGGTGATCAACTACCAGAGCATTTCGGGCTGGTCGGAGCTCGTCGCAGCCTGTGACGTCCTTGGCGTGAACGTGCATCCGTTCTTCAACCCCGGCACGACCGCTGACGGCGCCATTGACGTCGTGGACAAGCAGTGGCAGACCATGATGAGCAACTTCGGAGACAAGCTGCTGCTGACCGAGACGGGATGGCCGTCGAGCGGTTCGGTGTCGGGCAACACCGGCAGTCTCGCGGGCGAGCAGACCTTCTACAGCGCGTACCAGAAGTGGAGCAGCGGTCTGAGCGAGAAGTTCTACTTCCAGTTCTTTGACATCCCAAGCAAGCCGGAGGCCTACGAACAGACTTTCGGTCTGTACACGGCGGACTCGCAGCCCAAGTTCACTATGTCCCAGCAGCAATCGTCTTCCACTCCGACGTCCCAGCAACAAACGCCATCGACCCCGACGTCTCAGCAGCAGCAACAGCCAACCACGTCCGCCCCGACGACGGCTGCACCGGCCCCGACCACCGCCGCTCCGACCCCTGAGCAGACGAATGCCCCGGAGCCCGGTGCGTCTACGCCCACGCCGACTCCGGAGACCTACCAGAGCTCGGGAGCCAGTGAGACCAACACCAACACCACGTCTTCGATCTCTTCGCACTCTGGTTCGGTGTTGAGTGGCAGTGACGAGACTGGTGTCCCCAGCGGCAACTCGGCCGAGAAGGACGCTGCATCCACTAAGCAGGACGACACTAAGACCGATTCCAAGTCGGACAAGACGTCCGAGACCACGCAGTCCACTGCGACCATCAGCTCCATCGGTAAGAGCTCAGAGTCGCAGCAGGAGCAGCAGACGTCCAGCAACAACCAGGACAACACCACTCAGCAGGTAAACAACCAGAGCGAGGAATCTGGTAGTAAGGATAGCGTCGTCGGACTTGCCGTGGGTGGTGGTGCTTGTGCTATGCTGGTCGCTTTCGGCTTCATCTACCAGGCCCGCAAGCGCGCTCAGGAGCTAGACGAGGACAAGGACGTTCACTTCTCGACCGTCACGCCCGTGGAGAACATTTGCTCGCTTTAAACGAGCACGTTTGCCATTAAAATCAACCGATTTCAATATTTTTTGAGGTTGTGCTCCTTTGCTCCAATAAAGGTTACTATTGATCCAGCCTAGCCGTAAGAAAGCCCGAATGCTATGCATGTATGCTTCCTCTACTGAGGCACTGAAGGTGCTGGCGCTGGCGTTCCACCTTCCGTTGTAGCAGGTGTCGCCTTGGTCACAGATCCCAGACCAACGGCAGCAATCGCATCCACTGGTGGCTCGAAGTCGCTGGCACTCACTCGCTTCTGGGCCGAATGCAGGACCGAAATGGTCTTGGCTGCCATGATTCCAGCCCGGAAACGGCGACGCGCGTTGTAGCGCTTCATCTCTTGCGTAAAGTGTGGCAGGGCATCGCCACTCACGCCGTGGATATCGGCCACCCACGGGTGATCGAGCACCTGCTGGGCGGTGAAGCGCTTCTTGGGGTCGACAACCAGCAGTCTTGAGATTAAATCCTTGGCCGAGTCCGACACGCAGTCCCAATACGGACTCGGGTAGTCGTACACACCCGACTTGATGGACTGGAAGAGGGCAGCATTGTTTTCGTCGTAGAACGGAGGGAACCCGCACAGCAGAATGTACGCGATGACCCCGAGACTCCAGAGATCCACCTCAGCTCCATACGGACGACCTTCAAGAATCTCCGGAGCCACGTAGCCGGGAGTACCACATGCCGTCTGCATGAGCGAGTCGCCCTTAATGAGCTTGGCAAGACCAAAGTCGGCGATCTTGATCTCGGCGTTGTCGTCTGTGGACTGGTACAGCAGATTCTCGGGCTTCAGGTCGCGGTGTACGATACCCTTCTGGTGGCAGTAGAGCAGAGCGTCCGCCAGCTTCTTGACCACGCAACTGGCCTCCTTCTCCGAGTATTTCTCCTTCTCCACGATGCGATCGAAGAGTTCGCCACCGCTCATTTCCTCCATGACCATGTAAAAAGTCTTGTGGCAATCGAACACTTCTTTCAGCTGCACGATGTTCACATGGTGCACCAATTGCAGCACTTCCACTTCGACTCGCAGTGCCTCCTCATCCTCCGCCGTCAGACTCGCCTTGTCGATGCATTTGACGGCCCAGCGTGAATTGTCGGCCTTGCTGATCGCGCTCTTGACGGTCGCAAAGCTGCCACTGAAGAACAGAACACGTCTCAGTCTCAACACGTGGATCACCGCTTCACAGACACAGTCACGTACGTTCCGAGTGTCTTGCCCAGTTTGTAGTACTTGCTACACTCATCCTTCTTGTAGAATTCCGTCACTTTCTTCATAATGCCCGTCATGGTTGAAGACTTAGCTAGAGCCGGCGGGTGTCACCTCAAGCGGCCTTCTTCGTGAATGAGGAGGTGTTTCAGAGGCTGCCAGCAGAGATCAATGCAGAAAATAGCAAGAAACCGCCATACGCTCGTATTCTTGTCTTGTCGGAGCCTAATAAACAACTTGGGCGTGAAACTGCGTCATCTCCTTCCGACTACACACGATACACCAAGAGATTATCTGCAGCAAGAATATTGCATTTCTACTCGATTCTATCTAGTACGGACGGGAGGCTTTGCGCGCCTTCCGGATGCCTGCGGGGTCAGTGCCCGTCGCTCTCCTGGAGGAACTCGAGGATGAGTAGCCGTCCGTAGTCTCAGCCGCGCCGGGCACCGACCACTTGCAGAGACGCGTGTCCTCTCCTCCAGTGTACAGCGTGGTGTTCTCTGGGTCGTAGTATATGCATCGCACACAGGCCTTGTGACCGCCCTTGAGTGCCGCCGCGTGCTGTAACTTGCCGGCTGAGGCGGCGTCCGTGCCGATGGTGACGGCGTTCATGTCGCCGTCGTGGTTGCCGGCAAGCAGGAACAGCTCGTTAGACTGGTCGTCGTACACGCAGTCGATTAAATAGTCGGTGGCCAGACCGTTCTTGTTGCAGTCGTCGCGGATTGTGTCGTAGTGGTGCAGCCGTTCGGCCGTCCAGAGGTTCCACAGGTCGAGCGTCTCGGTGCCTGTGAGACAGAAGATATTCTCTTTCTGCGGACCGAAGAAGCCGACGGTGGTGACGGCACTCTCAACATTGATGATACTCTCGAGCGCGTCGTCCTCGTCCGGTATGCGGCAATCAAAGAAGCACACGACGCCGTCCTCGGACGCCGTGACAACGAATGCCGGTTGCGTCGGGTGGAACCGCACCTTCGTGATGGCGTCCACGTGGCTCTCACCGTATTGGCCGAGCTTATTGCCCGTGCGCACGTCGTAGAACAGCGCGAGTTCGTCTGTGCCTGTGGCCAACAGCGTCTCGCCGCAGCCAATGGACAGACTCCAGACCTCTCGTCCGACCGGCAGCACCATGGCCGGCAGCGCCGTGCGTGTGTCCCAGAGCTTAACGCACTCGTCACTAGAGCATGTAGCTAGCTGGAAAGGTGAGGACGGAGACGTCCACACCTCGTTAATGGTGCTGTTGTGCGCGTGGAACTCGTGCATCAACCCCAGCGTCTCGAGACTGCGCAGTTGAATCTTGCAATTGGACAGCGCCAGTGCCAGGCCGCTCTTGTTCGCCGTGGGTTGACAGTCCAGCACGTAGTCATAGTCAAAGTCCTCGCTCGGATTGGCCACCAGAGCCGTATCGCCTGTCGCGGCGAACGCCGTCACCGCCGTCTGTGCCAGCGCAAGGCCGCCGCGGTTCAAGGCACCACGCATGCTGGTCAACTTCCACAATGTAGCCATCTGATCAATGGCGGGTGAATAACTTCAATATGATTGGTTGAAATAGAAAGAAGGAGTATTCCAACCAATAGCACGAGGTATATTGCATCATGGACAGCCACTTGAAGTCGCGCCGCGAATCACTGGGCCGCCCGCCGTCATCGCCACGAACGCCCAAGCTGCACGCCATCGCCACTGGGACTGCTCTGCGTACGCGTGAGCAAGCGCGTCTTGAGCTTCGTCAAGCTTCAGACCGCGAAAATGCACCGAATCCGTCGCCGTGCGACGAGTCGTCGACGGAAATGGACGCGAACAACCATGAACGGTTAACTTCCAGCAGCGATACAGGCGGCGGTGACGAAGACAATGTTTCTCCGAACATTTTCGAACAGTCCAGAATGCATGTGGACGAGGATGAATTGCTGGAATTGCGTCGGAGGCCTCCCGTGGCTTTCGTGGTCCGGAATGCTGCGACGAAGGAGGAAGAAATGCAAGCTGCAGCTACGACGACAGACTCAACAGTAGCTAGACCGAAGAGAGGACAGAGCTGGCACTCACCTGTGCATGTGCCTCTTTCCCACCGCAAACTGGTGCAGCCGCCTGAGATTTTCAGAGAAGACCCACCGTTCCAACCCATTGCGCCACGCGCACCGACCAGCGCGAGAATGGGAAGATGGCGCGGTAAAGCTGGTAATACACCAGGTAGAATGACATTGAATCCGACAAAATTGACACCAATGGCGAGTCCGACGCCAGAAACTCGAGACCAACTCTCAGACCGGTACGTCTTGGTCGGTTTAAAACACTATGAAGACAACCTGCTGACTTGCTGAATATAGCGCGTTTGTACGGAAGCTTCGGGAGAAGAACCAGGAACTATTTGATCGGTTGGTACAGAGATTTTCTACGCTAAGACGTGTGAGTATCCAAGAGCAGGAAAGTCACAACAGAACCGACAACAACGCTCTGAAACTTTCAGGCGTTGAGGATGCGATCCTGTTCTTCTTAGACGCCAAGCACAAGCATGATGTCTTGTATTTCAAGCGAAAACATACGAGGGGAGCGAAATCCGCCGAGACTGCAAAAATTTCGCTCGGATTGTCGTCAGCTTCTGCCACTATGGGAAAGTATATGCCGTACGACTTGGAGCGTGTGGACGAGGCTCCTAGATCTGGTGCAGGAGATTATTTCATGATGACTTGTTCGTCTCTTGTGCACCACACGAACAACAACGACAGCGACGTGTCTGGAGAGGTCATCCCGTTGTCGCAGTGGATCATGGAGAGCAAAATGTTCTCGCTACTTCTCGCTGGAATTCCTCTCTTCCAGAAATTTCTACTTAGGAAAACGTTCGTCGGGTGGGTGCGTGCTATTCGTCGCACTATTTACCGTGACAACTGCAAGCAGATCGCTCACTGTCTGCCGTTCGCGCGTCAATCTTTTGTCCGCTCGATACTCCAATCCAGTCGCGCTCTTCGTGACATCCAGAGAATCCGATCGTTAACGTTACCGACCACTCGACCGGCAGTTGATCTCGTTACAGTGCAAGAGCATCAGAAGGAGCAATTAGCAATGGCAGAAATGGGTCTGATCGATGCGAAAGAAAACCTTTTAGGTCTCATGGAGGAAATGGTGCAGAAAATCTACGACGATCTGGATCCTCCGACCAATTTGGACGAACTATACAGCGCTGAAGCCACGTCGGTCCGCACTATCAACACCAAGTGGAAATCAGCGCCAATAGCTGCCATGCGTCAGCGTAAAACCGCTCTGCAACGTCAAAAAGACGCAGCAACGCACGACATTTCGTTGCTGGAGACGTACATTCGAGTGCTGGATTATATGTTTACGGAGAGTCTCTACTTGATGATTATCTACTGTGTCCGACACTTACGCGAACAGTTATCGGCTGAGGAGAACTCAGGTGCTGTCTGTGCTGCAGTGGCGATTATTGGAGACTCACTGGAACTCACGCCGTCATTTGAGCAGACTAAACACATTTTCTTGGACGGATTAGCTCGACTCATCCGTCTCGTGAGCAATTTCCACTTTACTAAAAACGCCACGACGTGGAGCAACAATCGAGGCACGGGGCTATTAGCCGTCGTCGCTGAGTCGTTCGAATCCAACTTGTTCTCGTCGGAATTCGACTTACAATCGGTTCTCCGAAAAGACCCAAAATTCGACAAAATAACGAGAGAATTAGTCTCCGAGCTGGCTCTGTGGTTTGATCGAGCCACTCAACAAATGCTCACATTTGAGTCGCTACGTGTGATTTATGTCGAGGTGCAATCGGTGCAAAAGCCTCGAGGAACCGACCAAAGTGCTGGAAACCAATCGAATCTCACTCGCCTCATTGGAATCTCCGGTGGTGAACTGTCCCGTTTCTTAAAGAATATCGCGAACCGTCTGAATGTGCTCGACCGCTCGCAATATGCGTGTCAAAAGGTGCAGTCGAGCTGGAAAGTGGGGTTTCTCGAAATTCAGTGTCGAAATTCCATTTCCGAAATTTTAGAACTCATTTCTCAAGAACGCAATTTACTACACCAAAAACTGTACGCACTGGCAGTTGAAGGGGTCACAGAATGTGTCAGTGTGTTACAACGAGCCACGTTACTATTGGAGGACCGTCCGCAACTAATTGAGTTTTTCTGTGAGCAAATGAAGCAGGTTCGACTGCTCAAAGAGGGAGAAAAACAACTGAATCAAAATATTCGCAACGTGGATGAAACAGTTCGAGCTTTGAAGCGGTTCGCGCCCTCGTTGGGGTCGGATATTTCTCCTCAACACAACGCCATGCACCAGTTTTTAGGCAAATACACGACGCTTATTCAGTCGCACGCCAAATTTGCAGCTAAAGTCCTGCCCAATATCACGTACCAAGTCAACTCTGCGTTGCAGAAATATTCACTAAGATGCCAGAAATTGTTGACAGTGTACGATGAATTCTCCGACATGGAAGAACAGGGAGACATGGAGAAGAATGTGGGAGTGTTCCAGGAAGTTGTACGTGAATTGTCAGCGATTGAGAAAGCCACAAAGTTGTACCAAGAATACCAAAAAATGGTCGGACTAAAAGTGGTAGAGATCCCGTCGTTGGCCGAAGCCATGACCAAGTGGGGGGAGGTACAGGAGTTAGTGAATTTTACCTTACAGTGGCTAGCAGCAATCAACTCGATGGAAAACGGAATTTTCAGCGAACAAAACTGGGAAGTTCATGCCGACAAAGTTCACAGTTTCTTGCCAATAATTCGAGAGCTGCAAAGCCGGGAACGCGCTGGCTTTGCAGATAAAATGCTGGGGAACATCTACCAAGCTGTGATCGATTACTTGAGAAAACTGAGTTTAGTGAAGGAAATGGCTCAACCGTGGGTGAAAATCCACCATTGGAAGGAGATTCTAAAACTCATGAACATCCTCAACTACGTTTCGAGCATCGGCGTGTTGATTACCGACGGATATACAGTCACGTTAGGGTTCCTTCGCAGTCGAGATCTGTGGAAATATGAATTACAGATCCGAGAAATCACTCAGAAAGCGCATCACGATGCAGTAACAGAGAAGAAGCTCAATGCGATGAAATGTCGACTGCAGGACGCGGTGCTGCCTATAATTCGTGTCCATGACTCGCACGAGCTCGACCTGCCGCGTGCGATTCAATTGCTCGAATCATTCGAGGACGATCTGCTTACGATTCAGTCGTTAGCTCAAGTTACAGCATCGGGTTCTCTGCAATTCCAGCTTGTGCAGTGGCGTGACGAAGTTCGTCACTGTGAAGAAGTGCTGGATAAATGGATCATAGTTCAACGAAGTCGCACGAAGCTGAGTCTCTTGTTCTCGCTTCGAGATGTCCAGCACAGTGTCACGGACGCATCTTTCGAGTTCCAAGCGATAGATCGTAAGTGGAGAGGCATGATGCACTCAGCGAAAGGGACGGCATCTTTGTCTATCTGTCTGCGTGAAGTGGTTACTATTGGTTTTCTTGTTGGAGCTCAGGAATCCTACGCCAAGTTGTGGCTTCAATTAGGAACGTATCTGGACGAAAAACGCAAATATTTTCCTCGATTTAACTTCCTATCCAACCACGATTTATTCCAGCTCATAATATACGCACGGGATCCGAAACATTTGCCTCGAATGGTTTCAAAGTGTTTTCGAGGGATTCAATCTCTTCGAATGAGGAGGACGACAATGGAACTGGTAACATCTACCGGTAGCAGCGGTACTGGGATTAATGAGGAGAGGGCAGAAGACGACGTGGCGGTCTCTAGTCTGCAGGCTGGTGTTGATATCGACGCCATCTACGGCGCCGCAGAAGGAGAAGAGCTGCCGATCAAGCCCTTGCGCGTAACTGCGAACTCTCAATTCTGGATGAAAGAGCTGGACGAACGTGTGAGTGTAGCTGTGGTGGAGGCAGTCAATAGCGCTATGAATGGGAGTATCGTTACCTTGTTTGAAGACAATCTGGAGTCGCTGATCAAGCCTCGATCAAGCGCATCGAATAGGAGAGTGGAGACATGTACGGACAGTGCGGACAACATTTTATGTACGACCGAGTTGAACGCACAAACGGATGATCGCGAGTGGACTGATTATCCCCTTCAAGTTGTGCTTCTCTGCGTTCACATCCTCGTCACTCACGAACTTAGTCCGTTAGTGCGTCTCGATCGTACAGGTGGCGCATGGCAACGCTTTTGGCAGGTTTTCGAACAAAAAAAGTCAAATTTGATCGAGTTTCTTGCACGCCGAGCGTCCAGTCCAAGAGAACGGTGGATTGCCAGCTCCATTTTGACTCTACTACTGAATCAATCGCAAGGAATTCGAGAACTGTACGAGGATCAACCATTGACAATAGTCAGTCAGTCAGCCGAGACTGCAACACATCAGACAGATAGTGACGTCTCTATTCACCATTACAGTTATGCAGCTGGAGATTCTTTCACGTGGACAAAGTTGCCGCGGTTTTACTACGATCCGTTCGAGAAAAAGTGTACGATTCATCACTTGGTCAAGACATTCCGGTACGAATACTCGTTTATTGGCAGCTACACGAGTCCAGTGCTGACTCCTCTGTGCACTCGAACGGTATTAGCGATGAGTACTGCGTTATCGCTAGAACACGGACTGTTAGTGCATTCTTTAAGTGATGGTGGGAGCGGCAGAAAGCGGACACTTGTGCGTGAGTTAGCCGCAATGGTCGGTCGGGAATGTATCGACTTCGACTACTCTAACGGCCTCACTCTTACTCACTTTAAGCGGATTTTACGCGGTGTTCTTCAAAGCAATTCGATGTGGCTTTTATTTTCTGGTATCGAAGTGTCCAAAATGTTGCGGATATTCGCACAGGAGATGAACCAAATTGTAGACGCTTTGAGAGCGCACCAGAATTGTCTCGTTCTAGATGGCTCTCCAGTGGACATCACGAACAATGAACTGGCTGTTGTAGTAACCTGTTCACTTGACTACCAACACACCCATCACCAACAGATTTTCTTACGTCTCTCAAGTTGTTTCGCTCCGATTGCCTGTTCAAGTGCCAATTCCGAGTTCATAGTGGAAGCTTTACTACTTGTGAATGGATTTAAGGACGGGAAAGAGCTCAGTGATAAGTTGAAGACGTTGTTTTGTCTCCTTGTGGACGACTGCATTCCATTTATCAAGGATTTGCCACAAAACCAACTTAGTTTTTCTTTCGCAATTGTCCGAAATGTCACGCATCGGTTGGATACAAATGTCTGGCAATCAGCTGAGAAATCCCTCGTAGCTGCAATTTGGGATGAAATTCACACTAAAATTTTACCAGAGAGACGAGTGGCTTTTCTGAAATGTATTCGTACAATTTTCCCACATGCAGTAGATCTAGAGATAAACGCGTTTGGAACGTTGGTGCTGCGAACTCCAACTGGAAAATCCACTACAGTTTCGTCAGATTTTTGTGAAAACTCAGCAAATGACGAAGATGCCGCACTGTCGTGTGATAGCGACGAAGAAGACGAATTTCACGACCTGAAAATTGTGAAAATGAGGATCCAAACTGCGATTTCTTCACGTCGATTGAGTGTGAGTGAGATCTACGTCCGCAAACTTCTCGAGTTATACCAAATCGTATCGAAAAAAGTCTTTGTTGTCGTCGTTGGTCGCGGTGTATGTGGGAAATCGACTGCTATCAACGTGCTGAGCTCCGTGTTCGCAGAAAAAGTGCCCAGCTCGGAGTCTACTTTGTTTGGAGATCCTGACAGACAACTTCGCGCTGTTCGGCTGTACCCGGAGGCTTTCAACTTGAAAGACATTTACGGAGAAGCGACAGGAGATTCCGCCTGGGACGACGGATTTTTCAGCCACTTCTTCCGTCAGAATTGCGTCGACGTCGCCTCCATCGACAACAACGTCGACTATACACTCGAGAGTATCGACGGAGACTCGTCCTTAAGCCCACAGCCAACGCGACGAAGGTCTGTATTCATCCCCGAAGATGCTCCAACTAACCGGTCTTTGGCTCCTGCGTCGTGGATTGTTTTCGATGGAGTACAAGACGCATTTACTCTACTGGAACCGCTTCGAGGTCTGATGGATTCTTGTCCGAAAGATACAAAGAAAATGACTTTACCCAATGGAGACCAAGTGGAATGTACACAACAGAGTCTGCGTGTCTTCTGCGAGGTTGAGAGTCTCCAACACTGGTCACCTGCTCTTCTAGCTCGCTGTGGTTTAGTCTACATGCAGACTGAGCACATAGTACCTTACACTCTCCTAATTAAGAGCTGGTTGCAGCAACAACAACCTAAACGCAAACGCTCCAGCTTAGCGCATCTGACCAAGTTACTCGAACCAACTAGTGAGTTTGTGGCCAAGTTGATGAGGACGCATTTACCGTCGCTTTTGGACGTTTTCAAGCGGTATTGTCCTACATTTCTCGAGTGTTCTCTCACTCACATCGTCGCGAATATGCTGCAACTTGTCACTCCTTTTGTAGTGGAGATCGCTAAGGGGGTCGTGGAAGATGAATCCGAGTGGATGACTGACGCGAGGATTGTGGTGGCGTATGCTGCGACTATTTCTATCGGTGTGATCCTCCCACGTTGTGGCAGGATGGAATTCCACCTCGCGGCTATCAAGATCGCACCTCACCTGATAGAAGAGCATCCGATCTTCACTTTGGACGCTTCTGTTACACTTTTTGACGTCGGATTGCGCTTCCAAGATCACCGAGTTGTCTTGTTTCAGTGGTCTTCTTCAGTACTGGAGAGTTCCAAGCCAACGCGTCGAAGCAGCTTCGCGTATCAATCGCAGTTTCCTCGAAGAACCAGCGCAGTATTGAAAGCTCGAGGGCGAATTGTCACTAGTGAAGACAAGGAAGGAGACGACGAGTTAGTGGGGGACACGTCGACAATTACGAGTCCGCTCTCCATCATTTACGTGCCTACTGCTGCTACCGTTAGCTGCAGTGCGTGGCTTACAATGATTGGATTAGCTAAAGCGAATGCGTTCGTAGTGGGTGAATCTGGGGTCGGGAAGACGCTCGTGATGGAGAATTGTCTTCGCCAACTTGGTAAGAACGAGAGGGTGAGCGCTACTGCTCTGCAGATTAACTGTACGACAACTGGCGTTGATATCCAGAGAGCGATTGAGCATGGAATGACTGGTAAATTGAAAGGTGCGCACTGTCCTGGAGTTGGAAAGCGAGCACTGGTGCTTCTGTTGGAGAATCTCAATCTCGACACTCAGGTGAGATTCTGAAAAGAATATACTCTTTTGTTTTACTAACGGAGTGTATTTTTGTTTAGGATTCCTCGACGTTAGTGAATGGACCATGTTCTGCTATGATTCGACAAGTTATCGATGGAAAGGGGAGTTTTATCAAGTCTACAAAAGAATATGTGGAGTTCCGAGATTTAGCAATTTGGTGTTCGTTTTCCTTGTCGAATTTTGGATATCCTCGCGTTCCTGCTCGATTATTGCGGCATTTTCACATGGTACGTCTTAAAACATTATATTTCTCTACTCCGAACCATTTTTTTTTCACGTCTTTTGCTCTTAGATGTGGCTCCCGAGCCAAACTGATCAGGTGTTCGCACAAGTCGTTCCTATGTTCAGTAATTACTTCAGAAAACGCTACGAAGGCCCAATTTTTGGAGATGTGACTGGTATCGTGTATCGCCTGAGCCAGTTCCCCATTCAAATGTTCAAGAGAGGGAGAAAACTGTGGAAACTTTCGGCTGCCGCACCTCATTTGCTCTTCAGTATTGGCAGCGTCCTCTCGGTTTTTCTCAGCCTGATGAACGCCTCATTGTCACGAATCCCTGCAGATCCAGAGACCGAGTTTGAACTATTAACCCTTTATTTAACCTTACAGCTCCATCGAAATCGATTCCTCGAACGGATTAACCGTGATCAACTCGAATCTTCAGCTCGCCGGATAGCCAAGAGACTCGGATTTTCCTCCCAGAGTTTATCATTTCTGCGATCTCCCTCAGATTTTTTCTTCGCAGATTGTGGAGATACTGAAGGGATCACGAAGATAAATGCCAAAACGCTCACAACGTTTTTCGTTGCAGGTGAGGAGCGTTTCCACTGGAACAGAAAATCCGCGTTGAAATTCGGATTTTCTGTTCCAGAATCCGGTGAGCTCAGTCCTCACAGCTCTCGTGGCAAAGGTACACGTTCTGTCGCAACAAATGACGAAGGAATCGGTCTCAACTCGTCGAATTCTGTTCAGGAAACAGCAAATGTACGACGATCTTCGCTAGCGATGTTCGCACTGAAAAATGGTCTCCCAGACGAGAAAGTGACCACTTCTTTATCGTTTCATCAGTTGCAGAATACTTTGGACGTCTTTAGTTTCCTACAAAGTGGTGCACGACATTTACTGCTCAGTGGATCAGATACTGCTGATCGACGGAGCACGACAATGGTGGCGTGTGGAGCTTTATCCTTCCAGTTTCGTGAAATTTGTACCGAATTGCGATTACCGATTTTTATCGAGCACGTCAAAACTATTGTACTCGACGCAGGTCTTAAAGCGACCCAAACAGTGTTGTACGCTGAATTTGAGGATTTAAACGCAGAGGAAGTGGCACTTTTAGTGTATTTAATCCGTCAAGATGATCTACCTCCTCACGTCTATTCTTCGGCTGATAAAGTGAAACTTCACACTATTGACCACCATCCAAAACCTCGACCAGCTTCTCCACTAACAAACAGATCATCGTTTTTACAGGACATGTCAAGTGTCGAGAAAGGAAAAGTTACTGGAGCAAAGAAAACAACGCGGTCATTAGCACATTTACAAACAGTTTTTCGGGAAAATGTGAGAAGAAGTCTCTACATCGTGCTATCTTTTGGGTGTGAGGCGAAACTAGTCGAATTGATGACTCAACAGCCGTCTGTATACTACCGATTTGTGTCAAAAACGTTCCCTCAATGGCAGGATGTTTCGGCTGAAGAAATCTGCAATAGTGCTCTGCAAGAATGGACATTACTGAATGAAAATCCAGATATTATCGGCACATTTTCAAGCGCGCAACTACGTGACATGGTGCTGATTATCCATCGTACAGCTGAAAGCTTTAAAAACGATAGACTTTATCAACGTTTACCATCTTTTACCATGCGTGGAAGGAGATTTGGCGCTGTAACTACGCGACTGGATGATATGCTACGAGTATTTACAATTCTGTTTGCGTTTCACCACAAAAAACTGGGAAAACAACTTCGTGATTTAAGAAAAGTTCTAAAATTTCTGACAAAGCGGTTGGCACAGACCAACGTACGCGTTGCGAAGGAAGAAACGAGTGAAATTGCGCAAAGTGACGCCAGCCAAGCTGTCGTGGATATCGCAGCACAACTCGCAGCTCAAGAATCCATCGAGAAAGAGGCAAGGCGATTGTTCCTACTTGATGAAGAACGTTGTGTTAAAATCCAGGGTGAAATTGAGATAAAACGCGCCAGTATCCAACGCGAATTATCCAAAACCTTGCCAGATGTTTTGGAGGCTACCGAGGCGTTATCCCAGATCAACAAATACCACATCGTCGAGATGAAATCCTTTACAAATCCGCCGCAGCTAGTGCGCTTAGCCATGCAAGCGGTGTGTGTACTGCTGGATGTTCCACCGACTTGGAGTGAAGCGCTACGGATTCTCGCAGATATTCGCTTTTTGGATCGACTTCGGAACTTTGACAAGGATAATATCGATCCTTCCATCATGGATCGTGTCAGATTTTACGTGAATCATCCAGATTTTTCCATGGAGAACATGAGACGCGCATCTCTGGCTTCGACTACACTCTGCAAGTGGGTTTTGGCGTTAGTACGATACTTTGAGGCGATGAAACGCGTGGCTCCGACGCAGAAATTGCTCGATGAAATAGAGCAGAGTTACCATATTGTCGTGCAGAGAGCAGACGCTGAGAAGAAAAAGCTCGTGGATATTGAGATCCATTTATCCGAACTCCGTGTCCTTCAAGCTCAAAAAATCCAGCGGGAAGCGGAACTCCAACGAACGCAAGAAACAAGGCAGCGCTACAAGTCGTCGGTCACGTCGTTTGGTCAAGTGATCAAGCAGTGGCACGACGTCACAAAGGAGCGATTAGAATCTGTTGAAAAACAGCAAGAAAATCTGCTTTTGGATTGCGTTTGTGTTGCAACTTTGATCATTTTTGGAGCTGAAAAATGCCACGAAGCACGCGAAAAACTCGTTTGTCAGTGTCAACAAGCAGTTCAAAAGAACTTTTCTTCATACCCGATGGCTGTGGATATACCGGCGCTGATACAATTGAGTGGAGAGGGATTGACTACGCACTTCCAGAGGAGTATTAGCGATATGTTAGAAGACGAAGACGAGGCGTTTGCTACCAGTCTTTTCCTCATGGACCAGATCCAGCAGGTGTGTTTTAAGATTCCATTCCTCGTCGATCCTTTGGGCCGTGGGATTTCATGGATTAAAGAGGCCTACAGCAACTCCACACCGTCGAAAGGATCTCGATCGTTTGGTGAGAACGTCGTGGTGGACGCTGGTGATCCTCTGTTTCTACGCGCAATTGAGACTTGTCTGGCTCAAAGTGCGCCACCAATGGTACGTTTATACACTAACAAGAACTGGTGGTTTATCCTTAAACTTTGGATTTTTCTGTAGGTTCTCGTTGAAAACGCTTCTGAAGGTGACGAGGCTGCGATTGAAGCTGCACTGGAGTTAATCGTATTACTCAAGGAGAAAAGCACTTGTGCGGTATATTTCGCGGCCAAATCTCTCGATAAAGTGTTGTCTTGGACGCCTAAGGTTTGTTAATCTTAGATATTTTTTCAGTGTTTTTATATAACATGTGATTGGTTTATCTGCAGACTTGGAGCCATTTCGCTGTGGTCGACTTCACACCTACACGTCGGGACCTCGACAATCATTTCCTCACTTTATTCTGTCACAATTCCAGAGCAGCAGCACAGAATGACATTGAATCCATCAGGTCCAAGTTGAGCGTTGAAAAGTCACAAGAAGAAGCGCTTTTTCAGAATTTCCTGGTGAATTTGTGCGCTGCGAGCGACGAGGCGGCAAAGCCTTCAACTGCTGGTCTGAGTTCGACTACGGTATCGATTTTATCGGCTTGGATTTCGTCAGGGTCTGGTCAGCAGGGATTTTGTAATGAAGACTCGATGGAGCGGATTTCAACGCAGCTCGACGATTTTATGGCAGTTCGACACACTCGAATGCAACTACAGCAGGATCTCAGGAATCTGTACACTGAACGAAGACATGCCCTTCCATTTGCACGTCGATCGCGTGCCTTTGTACTGACTGAAGAAGGATTGGCAAAACTCGGATTATCACTGCATCTGTCACTGTCGCGAACGTTGGATAATATCGGTGAATCTCTCGTGGATTCTCAGACAAAAATCCAAAAGTCTTCTGAGGAAAACAAAAGCTGGTATTTAAACGTCAGTGCACTCACTGCGCTAACGACTACATCATTTATCCGCCAGCGACTAGCAGGCATTCTGACGTCGTTGCACCGAACGTATATGTTTGTACTCGTTTTATCTATTGGAGAAATCGATGGTGAAGATGAAACGTTTGATATCCCGCAACAGATATTTGCTGAGAACGTACGAGAAAGAATCCTTCCTCTGTGCTCAAGACGCAATTTAAGTTGCCACCATTCTGGCCAAGGCGACGACTGTAACCTAAATAATGCGGCCAAACTGACAGCTCAGCGATTTGTGGACCAGATCGTCGAGGCAGCACTAATATCCACAGCTACTTCAACATCATGTACACAACTCGACGACGAGCTCTTGGCAGCTTTTGTGAAGATCAAAAAAGGATTTCTGCACTCCTGTGAGCCAGCTGTCCAAGCTCTGTACCTCAACATGATCGAGAATGCGAACGACTGGAAGATTTACATTAAATCTACTTTGGCATATGAACCAGCAGATGAATCTACGAATATCCAAAGCCCTCGAAACGCCAAATCTCCATGGATAAAATCCATTCAGTGGCCGAAGTGGATGATGAAGCACTTTCGACTGCTTGGGCGTCTTCAGATCCACTTGAGTTTATTCGACTCCCTCCCGCTTAGATTAATTGATGATCTCATAGCTACACACCTCGGAGAACGCGAAATGAACTCGATTTTATCGGAGGGAATCGTTAGACCAAGTTTGGATTCCTTGGTAAAGAACGCTAATTCCTCCACTCCGTTGCTTGTTCTTACCAACTCGAGCGAATTTGCGGCTAATGGATCGTCTTCTGTACGACATTGTGCGAGACGAAGTGGAATTCCCGTTGAAAAGGTTGTCTACATGTCAGTTGGCCATGACGCCACAGCGAAAAATCCGGTAAGTATTTGGTCTTACCGTGAAATATCTGCCACGACAGACTCGGTAGTTCGTGCTGTTACCGCTGTGACGAGACTGAAAGAGCTTTCGACAAACTCGGGGTGGATAATCATCGATGGAGCTAATACTGCTTCTGCGTCTTTAAGTATCACGAATGCACTGCGTCTTCAGATTGCGCATCTGAGTGGCGTCAAATCCACACATCACGACTTTCGCTTATGCATAGTGGAAAATCTAGCAGATTCTTTGGGTGACTTGACGCTTCCAGCTCATCGTCTCTTCTTGGAGTCACCACAAACACTCAAACAGCTCTACGACTCCTTCTTGCAGTCCGAACAAGAGCGCAAAGAAGCAGAAACGAATCTAGAGAAGGCACAACATAAAGAAGAAGCTCCAAAGCGTCCACCACCGCTGTCTCGCCATGCCTCGTCCATTTCATCATCTCTTCAACGCGGCAATACGGAGCAGCAAGTTCGAGCAGCTCTGTGGTTGTTCCACTCGACTTTTCGCCTTCATCTTGAGGCCACAGGGTCCTCAATTCCGACCGATCTCTTCATCTCGCAGTACGAGCTTGACCGAGTGACGCGTTTAATCCAGCTGCATCTTCATCAACGCGTGGTCGCTTCCACTGTCACTTCTGGGACGTCTTCACTTCAAACAGCACCACCGTCTGCTGCAGCAACGGAAGCACACTGGAAAACATTAATGGAGCTGGCAGTGTTGATTTATTTGAGTCGTCTGTGGGGTGACAGTCGAGATAACCAATGTCGACAACTGCTGACCTGGTGCTTCCACTCCAACACCCGGGATCACAACACAGAGCAAGAATCCGTACTATCTCGTATCCTACAGCTACGACAACGCCTTGCTAGCTCCACAATGAGCCCAGGTTCAACACTTTTCGAAAAGGTTGAGTTGGATTTTCTGCCTGTTGATTTACAGCGTCAACAACACGAGTACGAATCATCGTCACTACTCAAGAATTTGTTAACTATCTACGCTTAGGACGGAGACTCCTGCAAGACTGTGGCCGATCTTCTACTGCGTGCGCGAAGTCGCTTGGAAGCGTAGTTCAGGACAAAAATTGTACTCAGCTGAAAAGTAACACGAAAGGTAATTCTACCAAAAGTATTGTAGCTTTTTTTTGTCGATGGGAACTGGTATCTTTTGGGAGTCCTGACCATCTTTGACTTGAAGTTTGTATGACACATTTTTTTGGACCGCCGTGTTTTGGAAAATCATTTTAATAAAAGAATTGGAAATAAAATAACATTTCCAACAATTTATAATAATAAAGTATCATTTTCCAGAACATATAATACAGTATTCTACTAAAATAATTTTGTTTATAAAACGATTTTAAAATAGCATTTGCAAAAAGTGTTTATTACCTTAAATATTCAACTATTTTTATCTTCGCCGAAACGACATGTGCATTTGGTCCACTCTAGCGAGTTTTCAATAAATATTGTAGCGTTTAAATATGGTGTTTAAACGAATTTGAATCTGATGAAAGCCTATTGTAGGGTAATGATTACCGAATCAGATCGGGTCTGAGTCTGACAAATCTTAGAATTATTTTTGAAAACCAGAGGGTTTTCAGAATCAGTCTGGATCTGATTCCTGTACTAGTTTACTAAGTATTAATAGTAATTCTTCAACAGAGCCGAAGTCATATTATTATGCCGCTTTTGTGACCTTTTTGAGATAGTGCCTTCGATGCCAGCTCAAAAACCAATGACGACGCCGTTGTCGACTGCCGGGCCGTCGCACGAGGACAAGCGTCTTAATGATGAGCTTCTACAGACACTGCGGTGCGCATTAGTTCTCGCATTCATTTGCTCTCGAGGTCTCAAGACTTCTGTTTCCTATTTCCAGGGCCTGCGGGTTGTACGAGAGCGACGAGCAGCTCGCACGACGCGATCGTGTGCTGAAGAAATTGCACGATATATTGCAGGAGTACGCACTGCACGAGGGTCTGGGACTCTACAGCGAAGCGGAAGCGGCCGTCAAACGCGTGCAGCTCCGTACCTTCGGCTCGTGCCGCCTCGGTGTCCAGAGCTGCGAGGCCGACATCGATACGTACGTAATTCTGCTGCCTTAGTAAACGAACAACGACTCTGACAGTGCAGGCATCTGTGCGTACAGACTGTGCGTTGCACCCAGACACTGTACGCGCACAAGCTTCTTCGAGAAGGCCCCGATTTTACTGGAGGCGGCGTCCAGCGTCACGGGACTGCGCGTCATTAGTGACGCGTTCGTGCCAGTGATCAAGATGCAGGTGGACGGGATCCCAGTGGACCTGCTGTTCGTGTCACTAGATCTGGACTCAGTCCCAGAGGATCTAGATATGCTGGACGACCAGATCTTGAGAGGAATGGACGAGGCCTCGGTGCGGAGCTGCAATGGCGTCCGCGTGACGGAGCGAATTCTACAGCTCGTGCCCAATCAGGAGCGATTCCGGACGACATTGATCGCTGTCAAGCATTGGGCTCGGGTATGTCAATTGAGACAGGTTCTGGATTGGTTGTGCCTGCATCAGTGACGTGTTTTGGCTTGTGTAGATTCGAGGTATCTACTCGAACGTATTGGGCTTCCTCGGCGGAGTGAACTGGGCCATCTTGGTGGCGCGGATCTGTCAGTTCTACCCGAACTCGTTGCCGGCGTCGCTGCTGTCGCGCTTCTTCAGGATCTACCAGATGTGGACGTGGCCGAATCCGATCATGCTCGACCGGGTGGACAACCCACTCAACCTCGGCTTCTCGGTGATGCAAAGGCTTTCTCTCTCTCTCTGATACAGCGTGCACAGTATTATCTTAACAACTGATGTATATTGGGTTTGGTGTCGACAGGGATGGAACCCGAAGATCAATGTTCGGGACCGATTACACCTGATGCCGATCATCACACCGGCATATCCAGCGTTGAACTCGTCGTATAATGTGATGGCTTCAACCTTACGTATTCTCAAGGCTGAGTTGGGTAGGGGGTTTGACCGGACACTTGAGATTGAGACCAAGGTAAGGAAGAGCAGCGTGGCTATAAAGATGCAGCTACTGACAATTATTTTGTGCAGAAAGCTTCATGGACGAAGCTGTTCGTAGCGCCAGTGTTCTTCCAAAGGTTCTGTGACGTATCCTCGAGTCCTGAGCCTTGTGATTGCCTTGCTGCGTTGTTGACTGGTTTGGTTTGTGGTCAATAGGTCAAAACATTTTCTTCGTGTCCAGATCACAGCAAATAATGCCGAAGACTTCGACGGGTGGTTCGGCTGGGTCGAGTCAAGACTGCGGCATTTATTCCTTCGGTACGTGGCCTGTTGATCTTCTTTTCGGGGCTGAAAACTTGCATCTCGACTCGTGATTTTGACAGCACATGGTGACCGGATCCTGTGAACGCTCGCTGGGTAACCTGATCTCTCTGCTGACTTTGTTGTTGCATTTTACTAGATTGGAGGCTCTGCCGGACATCCGCATCCACCCGTTCGCTCGCTTCTTCGACTTTGTTGAGACCAAGGACGAAAGTCCAGAGAGCTCGTCCAAGTGTGAGGTTCACACCTCGTGGCTGTTCATCGGACTGAAGTTCCCAGCCCCCACAGCAGCTCCAGTCACAGGGGCGACGCACAATGTGGATCTGACGGGTGTGATCCGCGACTTTGCCTTGTACACGGACCAGTGGGAAGGTCGCCACGGCGGGATGGACATGCAGATCGATCATGTTACACGTTCGCAGATCCCGGAGTGGGTACTGGAGTCTGTGGACAATGGAGCGGACGACAGTAAGCACGTGAGGAAGCAGACGGCAGAGAAACCTTCCAAGAAGAAGAAGCGAGACGATGAAGTCGCTGCTGTTGACTGCCCTACACAAAATTCGACAAAGAAGAGTAAAGGTACGTGCTGACAAAGGTTAACTCCGCGGCCAGTAGCTTTGTAGATCGGTAGCAACAAGTAGGAACTGACCCGCAGAGTCTGGCTGGTATAGTTTCATTCTCATCTTGACTGTAGTCGGATTAGTCGGGAATGGATGGGATCAACTGTTTTGACACACTTACTCGTTCTTGAACTCGGCCTTGCGCTTCTCCACAAAGGCGGCCATGCCTTCCTTCTGGTCCTTGGTGGCAAACGAGCTCCAGAAGAGACGACTCTCGAACTTGATTCCCTCTTGCAGCGACTGCTCGTAGGACGCGTTGACGGCCTCCTTGGCCATCTTCACCACAGGCTGCGAGAAGGACGCGATCTTGTTGGCCGTCTTTAAGGCCTCGTCCAGCAGCTGGTCAGCCGGCACCACGCGGGCCACGAGTCCGTCCCTCTCAGCCTGCTGGGCGTCGATCATGTTGCCCGTCAGGATCATCTCCATGGCCTTGGACTTGCCCACTGCTCGGATGAGACGCTGCGTGCCGCCACAGCCCGGGATCGTGCCGAGCGTGATCTCCGGCTGGCCGAACTTGGCCGAGTCGCCGGCGATGATGAGGTCGCAGAGCATGGCCAGCTCACAGCCGCCGCCCAGCGCGTAGCCGTTGACAGCAGCGATCACGGGCTTGGAGACCTTGGTGATGTCCCCCCAGTTAGCGAACATGTTGCTCTTATAGGCGTCCACAAAGCTCTTGGTGGCCATCTCCTTAATGTCCGCACCGGCCGCGAACGCCTTGTCGCTGCCCGTGATGATGATGGCGCCGATGTTCTTGTCGGCATCGAAGGCGTGGGCCGCGCCGTTCAGCTCCTCGATCAGGGGGCTGCATAGCGCGTTCAGAGCCTTGGGGCGGTGCAGAGTGATGATCGCCACTTTGCCACGCACTTCGGTCAAGATGTTCTCGTACTCGGCTGTGGCCATGGTTGCACAGAGTTAGATGGTGATTGGTGCAGCGTATGAAGTGGACTAATGTACCTTTGGACGCGAAGCTGCGAGCGAGAGGGCGGCGCAGGGCCGAAGAAGTCTGACGAAGAGCGAACATGCTGCTTGAAGGGGAATCTGGTTCTGTCTGGTTCTGACGTGGGAGGATTCGGTGATACCTTGTGGAAAGCTAAATTGAAGTTTAAATTGAAGTAAGTCAAAGACGCAACGAGTCTGACAGGGGATTGTTCCTGCGTGGCCTCTAATTGGACAACGATGACTGCATCCAATCTTCGAAGCTTGATGCAAAATTGAACGAAGCGCTGCGGATCTGTTGCATGAGCTGCTTGGAGGTTCCTCTCCACGATGTCCGTCATGGACGCATAATGCGCTCGCAACGGCTGAAGAGCGGTGAGCGTATTCACTTGAGGGCGGGTCAACGACAGTCGATGGTGACAAACGCTACTGATCGGTAGCAGAAGCGTTTGTTTTACTCGAGAACTTTGCCAGAGCAAGCTTCAGTTGGCACAAGTCTCTCAAGGTAATCGCTAGCACTTCCTCAAGCACTGACCGCTTTGCAACATCTTCCTTGCCCCTATGAGCTTGTCAGACTTCGATGTTGCATCAATGAAGGAGCTACAATCCCGACATTGGCGCAGATCTCCTGCGAGTAACTGCACTCCCAAGTTGGGAGTCCCAAAGCATCGTAGACTATCATTACCTCCGCCACCCATGTCAATGCGCGCCTTGGCTCTTAGTTTGCTTGTGAAGATACAATTGCAATCAACGCGCGGCGTAGCTTTGGAGGATCTCTATCTGGCTCAAGTTGAAGTTCCAATACAAATATCAAGCTAATCTGTTCGCTTGATCTCATTAAGGACGTATGTACATGTGGTCCACATTCCAATTCTTGCCAATCATGACAAGCGTCAATGGTTCCAACGTCCATGAGGCCTTTACGCTCATGGCGACGTTGCTCGCGCCGCGCGTGCCCGTGCGGTACCTGGAGCTGAGCGGACAGCTGCTACAACGCAGACAGATGGAGGAAGTCTTCGAAGAGCGCGCCGCCGCTAAACGCTGCGCCTTCCCAGCCTGCGAGAACCCACTACCCAAGTGGGTTATTATCCTTCTTCTCCATTCTGATCGCGTACTAACTTGCAATCCTATCACTTCGCATTGAACAGGTCTTCCGGTAAATTCCGGGTCTCCTTGGCTCGCAAAGAGATCTACGACGCTCAATACGAGCGGCAGTTCTGCTCTGAGCTCTGTCTCAAGGTCTAAAACTGCATCACTGTGCTTTCAAAAAAGGGCTTAATATGGACCTAATATTTATCTTGACTCTATTGCCACCCAGAAAGCTCGAGTATTGCTCTCCAGACTGGTTCACAAGCCTCCACAACTGGTCCCTTCTTTAGTGGAAGTTTTCGGTACAGACAAGCCCAATCCTTTGGACTACGAGGACAATGTGAAGGCAGTGAAACAGGTCGAAACCCCAACAGCACACAAGCCAGAGCCACTGCCAAAAGCCAAGACAGTATGGGCCAAGACGCAGGATTTAGGAGTCGTAGAGAGGAAGCACTCGATGTCCGTAGGCGCTCCACCAGCACTGGAAGCTTCGACCTCGAAATTGAAGGAGAATGTGTCCCCTGCAGCGCCAGACAGGAGTTTCCCGACATCCGAGCATGCCAGTCTTATCGAGGGCTACGTGTTCCCAGCACACAAGCAGAAACTGGCCAAGAAAGTGGAGAAGCTGGTCAAGAACAGTCAGGACGCAGAAGACGATGAAGACATTGTAGTGAGCGACAGTGACGAGAGCGATGCCGCTGCCAGTGACGTGTCATCTGCAGGCAGCTTCGAGATCTCTGATTTTGATGACGAAGAAGTGGTGACGCTGAATGATCTGCCGCTATTTAGCCATCTCTGGGGGTTGTTTTCGAGCTGGCTTACCCACGAGACGACTCTGGTGGTGACTGGACGTGCTATACCTGCAAGAGAAGAGAAAGAAGACACAGACCCCCTCATTGGAGGGCCAGAGAAGGCTGAAGCAGACGCTGCTCGACGTCGCGCGCGTCAGATCCGAACTGAGCGATGGAATTCTCTCTCACTTATGCTACGCCGCCCGTTGCCCCAAGTTGCACTCAAGTTGAAGCTCGCTAGCGATCGCTTCGCCAACCACCGCATCGATACGATCACCGAAACATTTTCGCTACGTGACGCCATCGACACGCGCAATGCGCACCAGGTACGAGTGTTATCTTGTGAAGGCAGTTGATATGTTTGAGGCTAATTACTATTGTATGATAGTGGACATGCATCGCGACAATTTTATTGCTAGTAGCGTACGATATCAAGCCGAGTGATCTCTTAGAAGGCGGACGCAGGTACATTAACTTACTAGCTGTAAGGTTATGATAACCCGAGGCTGATATCCTTGTGTTGTGGTCTATTAGCGCTCAAGTTAAAGCGTTGACTAAGCTGGATGTGTCGGAGCTCCAGCAATTACTCCAGTTATTCTACGAGGTCCGCAAGGACAGCGATGTTGCTGTTGACACGGATATAGCCCCGATACCTGAGAGCGAGTCGAAGGTCAATGATGCATCAAAGCAAACACCTGACAACAAAGCGGCGTTTTGTCGGAAATGCCGTCGTGCGAAGACCAAGTGTGTTTGCAAAACGCGTGCCCAGAATCCGAAGGAGGAAGAACTTTCAACTACCCAGTTGGAAGAAATGCTACAGGAGGCGCTTGTTCTGCGCGAAGAGTACGACGAGTTACTGCAGCCGGACGATTAAGCCAGTTATGAGGTGAATGGCAGGCTGGCAAGATCATCTAATGGTTTTTTTAGAGGTCAACCCGAAGCTTTAGCTCACCTTTTCGTGTTCTGTTGTGGACAAGCTGTAGTTTTCTTACCCGTTGTTTCATTGGGTCTAGCGCAGTGTCCATAGGGAGCATCGTCAAAGGTAAGTTGATTTGAATCACGCTTACTAATGATTAACAGGTACACACTCTAGTATTTGACTGTAGGAACCTTCAATTGGTTGTCGACATCTTATCATTTTCTACAGCGTGAACTTCTCGTTGCTGTCTTGGTCGCAGATGCCGAAGTGCGCCTCGAAGACCGTGTCGGTGCGTGACGGCAGGTCGAACATTTGGAAGTAATGACTGCGAGAGGCGTCCAGGTTCTCGGCGGCCCACGTCATGTAGTCCGAGTAGAACTGCTGAGCACCAGTGACGGAGCCCGTGTTGCCGTCTGCAGATCCGGCACTGGGCCAGCCTGTCTCGGTGATGGCCAACTTGTCGGCCAGACCGGGAAAGCGCGACTCGGTGTCGCTGTTTTGCAGTTCCGTCCACTGGTTAGACACGAGTGTGATGGCGTCGGTCGCAGCAGTGTCGGCTGTGAAGACAGGCTGGATGTTGACGCCCACGACGTCGCAGGCTGTGAAGAGATCGGCGAGGCCCGAGATGGCGTTGTATCGAGACGAGTCGAGCATCTCGGTGTTGCGCTGTACGGTGCCGATGGGCACATTGGGCAGAGCCTCCTGTAGTTGGGTGATGTAGCTGAGCATCTCGGACGGGACTTGATCGACGGAGGCCAAGTTCTCGTTACCGACGAAGATCTGGACGATGCTGGCTGATCCGTTGGAGAGTGAACCGGCCGAGATGGCGGCTGTGACGTAGTCGGCGGTGGCACTAGGGTTTTCGTTGTCGAAAGGAACGCCGAGTGAGACGTTGAGGCCCTGGGCGATGGCCAGTGTGGCCATGTCGGCGGATCCGTACGTGGTGGTGTAGGTTCGGACGAGATCGAAGCCTTTCTCCTTGATGGTCTGGAAGTCGGCGGAGATGGTGGCTTCTGTGGCGGAGTCAACGTGATCAGGATCGTAGCAGACGCCTCCCGTGGCCGTGGCGGCAACGCGGTTAGCTGTGGAGATGATGGCGAGGGTGGAAGCAGTGATGAACGAGAAACCCTTCATGGATGGTAGTGCGGTGAGCTCACTTGTCGCTTTGTGTTTGAAGAGGCAAATTGTGGAATGGTCGATGGAGTGAGCTTGGTACTATGATCAGAAGGCTGTTCCGTGCTGCTAGAGGCATGTCCCCTGAAGATCTGGGTCTCGAGGCTCGAGTTGTGTAGAACACCAACGCCAGCTGGCAAATGTTATGTGGCAGATGGTTGTCAACTCGGTGACCGTCGTGGTACGATTGTCGTAAGTAGAGATGATAGCTAGGGATACCACGTGCGGTGTCGACCGAATGCACCGAGTCGCGAATTGCAATCGAGTGGGTGAGAGCCTCATGGGGGGGGGGGCTCACGTCATGATGCAACTTGCAAGGGTCGGAAGTGGAGGCTACTCGTACACCGAAGAATCCGATGCTGGTTGTGTGGTCTCAAACGCGAAAGAGCGTCCAAGATCGCAACGGAGACTTGGCTCTATGACGGCACTGGAATCCAGTCGTGATGCTGTGGTCGTCGTTCGATTGTGAAGATGCCTTGGAGCTCCCATCTATTACGACTATTAATGTACATGTCAATGTCGTAGCAGAAGAATACAAAAAAGTAGTCATCTGAACTGCCATAGTGCTTCAAGAGTTAATAAGTACATGTATCGGTCTAGGGCTAAAACTCTGGAGAGCAACGTGTGCTTCATCGACTCTACTAACTGTCGACGGTGCATCTGATCCCCATAGCGGCTGCGTTTATTCCTCGTCGTCACTCATCTCTTCCTCCTCCTCATCCATGTTGGCATCTCCGTCCTCGTCCTCGTCCGATGTGAGGCCGTCGTTTTCGGGCAGTTGGCCCATAACGAGGTCGTATTCAGTCGTCTCACCAGCGGCATGGGAGACTGGAGCGGCCTTAAACGTAAGCACGCGCTTGTGGCCCGTCGGGTTGGAACTGTAGAGCAGCGTCTCGGCGTCAGGAAGCTGAATAAAACAACAAACATTAGGTTAAGCCCACGAAATAAAAAACACTTGCAAACCAACGCACCTTAGACAGATCCAGTGTCTCGTACCACTCCGGCAGCTCAAATCTCGACTTGGACTTGGCAGGCGGCAGACACGACGGGCAGTACACGCCCTTGCCTAGATTCTGCAGGAATGTCCGGGCCACCATGAGGATGTCCGGGTCTCCACCTTTACGGAGCATGTTACGCTTGATGGCCAGCTTGGCCAGGAACTCTTCATGATTCCGGAACACTGGGATCTGCAGCGTCTGCATGAGGTTCATGGCGTCTCCACGTTCGATCACGCTCTTCACAACAGGGACAGGGTCTTCCACGAAGACTCCGGCAATACCGTGCCGCATAATGGCCGACGACTCGTCGCTGTAGTCTGGGTCCAAAGCAGGACAGTCCACGAGCACAATCTTCTCTCCGTAGTGCACTTCCTGTGCTGTCTTGGTGGACTGCGGGATGCTGGCCACGTTGACCATTTGGCGACGTTTGATCGAGTTAATGAGCGTACTTTTGCCCACATTGGGGTATCCGACAACAGCGACGTTGATGGGTTTGTCCGTCTTGTCGGCCAGGCTGTCCAGGAACACTCGGAGCGGCTGTACCTCTCCGTTGTCGCGCATGCCGCTGATCTCCTGCTGACGGTCGTACAGGGCCTTGTGGCCCTTCTCCTGCTTGGTCTTCTTAGAGCTGTCCGAGATCTTAGTGTTCAATGCACGCACGGGGATCGTTGGGTGGAAGCGACGCAGATATGTGACCCATTTCTGGGCCGTCTCGGCCGACACCAGGTCGATTTTGTTGAGTACAAGCACGATTTTCTTCTGGCCCTTGGCTACCAGGCCGTCCTCAAGAGACAGAGAGCGAGAACCTTGCGGATCGCGCGCGTCCAGCACTACAAGTACCACATCGGCCGTCTGTACAGCGTGCTTAAGGTCTTTCTTAGCCTGCATTTCGACGCTGAGAGGGGTCACGGGGGCAACGTCATTGGCCAAATTGCGCTGAAGCTTGGCCAACTGTTTGGCCTTCTTCTTGTCCTCTTTGCGCTGCTGTTGCGCCTGACGCTGGGCATCAATCTCAGCCAGACGCGCCTGCTCCACCTGCAGAAGCAGTTCCTCCTTGAACGGCCAATTGTTGGGGATACCCGGGTCTTTCTTCTTCTTGTGCTGGTTCAGCTTCTCGGCCTTACGCTCCTGGCGCTTGTGCTCACGCACCTTACGTGCGATCTTGTACTTCTTGTGCAGCGATAAACGCTTGGATTTTCCTTTCTTCTTGACCATCGTGCCTCTACTTTGACTACTGTCGCTTTGACCTTGACAACCGTTGGCGTCGGCTCCAGTCGTTTGATTATCAGACTGTGATTGGTAGAAAAGAGTGAGAGTGTGGTCCACTTACATACACCAAGTCAACGTCCGCCATAGTGACAAGAGGACTGGGTGGTCATAGTGCAGACTTGTACGTGAGACGAACGAATATGCGGCTCCTTACCCACAACATGCTCGTGTGCCACGTCAAGGTGCGTGGTCATGAGCGCTAAGCGTCAAATTACTGCAGAGTTGTTAACGGGTGTTTGTTGTTTCGTATGGCCAGGCGTGCGCCGACACGGCCGGACGCGAAGCGGGCACTCGTCCGCTCAACTTTCCGCTGCGGGTGACTCACGACGGTCTTTTGCTGGCCATTGGACTAGGCTGACAATAAGCTTTCGTTTATGACTACTATTACTACAGATTGCTCCAGAAATGGACGGTGTAGTGGTGCTTGAGACGCAGTACAGCAAGAGCTTCATGCTGCACATCATGAAGTCCATCGACTACCCGGCGTTGTGCCACACCACTAAGGAGGTGCGTTGCAATGCTGTTATTGCGAATATGATGGCGCATTCTGACCGGTGAATTGTTCCGTTTTGACGCAGCTGAACCACCCAGAGGTGCCAATTCTGCCGGAGCAGATCCCCGCCGACTTATCGGAGCAGGACGAGCTGCTGAAGCTCATCCACCGTGTGATTTTCGACGTACGTAGCTGATCTTAGTAGAGTAAGTTGATTGCCTGCATTTGACTGAGACTTGTTGCTATACTTTTTCAGACAAACATCGTGGAGGGAGAACTGATTTGCAATAACTGCGGACGTAGCTACCCGGTCACCAACGCTGTGCCTAACATGCTGCTGGAAGAGGACGAACTTTAGAACTGCTGGATCGAAATTGTATGGTTTAATGTATTTGATGAACCCCACGGTCAATTAGATGGATACTAATTTTGACGAGCAATGGGGCTTTAGAACGCATGCTTCTCTCTGTATGTGGCCTCAGATCTCTCGACACGAAAGGGTAGCTGTACCTTCGACTCTACGCCGTTGATGGGAAAACCAATCCGAGTCTGACACGAATGCCTCCAGCTGTGAACAACCTGATAACACTTCCACGACATCCTCCCAAATTCATGCTAATGCCACTACCATTCTGAAGCGTGGCTAGCACCTCGACTGAGAGCTGGAGACACCTTTACAATCGAACGACGACCACAGCATCACGACTGAATTCCAGTGCCGTCATAGAGCCAAGTCTCCGTTGCGATCTTGGACGCTCTTTCGCGTTTGAGACCACACAACCAGCATCGGATTCTTCGGTGTACGAGTAGCCTCCACTTCCGACCCTTGCAAGTTGCATCATGACGTGAGCCCCCCCCCCCATGAGGCTCTCACCCACTCGATTGCAATTCGCGACTCGGTGCATTCGGTCGACATCGCACGTGGTATCCCTAGCTATCATCTCTACTTACGACAATCGTAGCACGACGGTCACTGAGTTGACAACCATCTGCCACATAACATTTGCCAGCTGGCGTCGGTGTCCTACACAACTCGAGCCTCGAGACCCAGATCTTCAGGGGACATGCCTCTAGCAGCACGGAACAGCCTTCTGATCATAGTACCAAGCTCACTCCATCGACCATTCCACAATTTGCCTCTTCAAACACAAAGCGACAAGTGAGTTCACCGCACTACCATCCATGAAGGGTTTCTCGTTCATCACTGCTTCCACCCTCGCCATCATCGCCACAGCTAACCGCGTTGCCGCCACGGCCACGGGAGGCGTCTGCTACGATCCTGATCACGTTGACTCCGCCACAGAAGCCACCATCTCCGCCGACTTCCAGACCATCAAGGAGAAAGGCTTCGATCTCGTCCGAACCTACATCACCACGTACGGATCCGCCGACATGGCCACACTGGCCATCGCCCAGGGCCTCAACGTCTCACTCGGCGTTCCTTTCGACAACGACAACCCCAGTGCCACCGCCGACTACGTCACAGCCGCCATCTCGGCCGGTTCACTCTCCAACGGATCAGCCAGCATCGTCCAGATCTTCGTCGGTAACGAGAACTTGGCCTCCGTCGATCAAGTCCCGTCCGAGATGCTCAGCTACATCACCCAACTACAGGAGGCTCTGCCCAATGTGCCCATCGGCACCGTACAGCGCAACACCGAGATGCTCGACTCGTCTCGATACAACGCCATCTCGGGCCTCGCCGATCTCTTCACAGCCTGCGACGTCGTGGGCGTCAACATCCAGCCTGTCTTCACAGCCGACACTGCTGCGACCGACGCCATCACACTCGTGTCTAACCAGTGGACGGAACTGCAAAACAGCGACACCGAGTCGCGCTTTCCCGGTCTGGCCGACAAGTTGGCCATCACCGAGACAGGCTGGCCCAGTGCCGGATCTGCAGACGGCAACACGGGCTCCGTCACTGGTGCTCAGCAGTTCTACTCGGACTACATGACGTGGGCCGCCGAGAACCTGGACGCCTCTCGCAGTCATTACTTCCAAATGTTCGACCTGCCGTCACGCACCAACACGGTCTTCGAGGCGCACTTCGGCATCTGCGACCAAGACAGCAACGAGAAGTTCACGTTGTAAGAAAACAATCATACAGGTTTAAAACAGCAAGGGCTTACCGCATGATTAATGCTGTTGTTGTGTCTGTTGTTCGTTGTGCGAGGCCAGAGTGTCGAGTTGTTTACGGTAGAACGCCTTAAGTTCGCTGACCTCGGCCTGCAATTCCTCGACTTGTTCTTCTTTCTCGCCGAATAGCTCGAGCAGCACCACTTGATGTTTCTGCAATTTCGCCAGTTCCAACTGCGTCTGCTCCCATTGTGCCTCGCCACTCTCTAGCAACGCGTTCCGTGTGCTCAGTCGAACGATCTCGTCGGTTGTTTGTTTCTGTCGAGCTTCCAACGCTTCCAATTGCTGCTTGAGCATCCTGTTCTCGCCTTCACGTAAGCGCAGTCGCTGCTGCAGTTGACTGAGCCCCAAGACTGACGTGTTGCCCGTCGAACTGAGCGAGTCTCCCATGGTTGTCTCCAACGTGGTCTTGAGGATCGACGCCTCCGCTTCCGAGCCACTGTACTGTTCCTCGATGCTTCGTCTAGACGTGGAGCCTGTAGACAACGGAGGACCAGGTTGCAACGTCGAGCTCTTTAACCGCTGTAGCTCTTGTTGGTGCCATTCCAGATCTTGTCGAAGCTGAGCCTCGCGCTCACGAGCCTGTCCCAGCTCAGCCGTCGCAGTAGCCGACGCCTCCAGCTTTTTAGCCGACGTTTCTACGTTCTCCAGTCGAGTCTGAAGCTGTTGTCTCGCTTCTGCCTCTACGTCACGCTGGTGTTTGGCCTGATTCAAGTCGATCTGTAGAGCGTCAGCGTGTCCGCGCAGTTCTCGCGCTTCGGCCTTGGCACTCTCCGCTTCTTCTTGAGCACGAATCAGCTTAGCCTGCTTCCTAGTAAACTCCAGCTCACGCTCGTCCACTTGACGTTGAAGCTCTTGGAATTTCTGCTCCAGCTCCATCTTCTCCTGTTCAACAACACGATGCTGTTCCGTGGCCTCTTCAATCTGTGCCAGTAGTGTACTCTCTGTAGCCTTCCAGCTCTCTTGTCTTGCACGTTGCTCTTCTTGTAACGTATGGATCTGACGAAGAAGCGGTTGAGTGGCTTCAGACACACTTTGACCCAACATATCCACTCGAGCCATTGCGTCCTGCCACTTGCGCTTGAGATCAGCGTTCTCTGCCCTCGCCATCTCTTCACGACGTGCTGCTTCTTTCTCCAAATCGCGGATATTATCCTGTAGAAACTGGATCGTGTGCTGCAGCTCCTCTCTCTCGACACTAAGAGCCTCGTTCGACTGGCTAGCAGACTTGAGTCTCTCGATTTCCTCGTTCTTGCTGGAAACCTCCTGAGTTAACTGGTTCACTTGAGTCTGTAGCGCCTCTAATTGTTGTGTAGCCTCTAAAGCTTGACGTTCAGCCTTCTCCACCTTCGCACTCGTAGTGTCTGCACTACTCATCAGCTGCCGGTTCTCCTGCGCTAAGCGAGCCTTCTCCTCCTCACTAACTTTCAGTTTGGACGACAGATCCTTCACTTCTTCACTAGAAGATTCACATTGAGACTGTAGCTTGAGTGTTCGTTCCTCCAGCTCGTCCTTCTCTTTACGGAGTGTACGTAGTCGTTGTTCCAGTTGCGCCTGCTTGACGGAAAGTGTCTGGCCTTCATCTAACAACGCACTGAGCTTCTCTTCCTTCTCTGCCAGAGCCATTTGAAGCGCCTGGACGTCTGCGCTTTGACTGTTACTCGTGTCTCGATGCAGTTGCGTCAACTTGGCCACTTCACGCCGCATATTCTCCAGCTGCTCCGTTAGAAATTGCGCGCGTTCGACAGCAGCGACCTCGCGATGGCACGTCTTGTCCAGCTCATTGTGCAGCTCTTGGATGGTTGCCGATGTCGCCAACAACTGTGACTCTCTCACCTCCAGCTCCTTCCGAAGTGTTGAAACTGCATCTTCAACACCTTCTTCCTCTTCACCTGCACTAGGATCTGATACTTCTACACTTTCAACCTCGTCTGGCTGCTTCTCCTCAGTTTCAGTCTCAATTTCAGCATCCCCAGCCTCCTCTTCAGACTGATCCTCAATACTCGGCTCCTGTTCCTGTTGAGCTCCCTTTTGCTCTTCTAAAGCGTTCGCATCGTCTTCTTCCTCTAATTTTGACTCGTTTTGTACTTCCTGAGCCTCTTCTTCATGCTCTCCCTGCGTGGTATCAGTAGGTTTGTCCTTGGGCTCCTCAATCTCTTCAGCATGAAGTTCGGTCTCCTCAATAACAGTGGCGATCGTCTCTGTCTTCTCCTCTACTACATCGCTGGGGATGGCTTGATCGGCCTCAACTGTCGTTTTATCCGCCTCGTTATCGGGAACTTTGTCCTCAATCTGATCTCCAGACGTCTTGACTGGAACCGCTAGTGGAGGTGGCACGCGAGCACCAGGCGCTCCCGTCACCACCTGGTCGAAGGACTTCTCCACGTCCTCGCGGAGATTACGGACCTGCTCCAGCCCCTGCGAAACGATGGACGTCACGTTAAGCTTGGTACCCCAGCCTCCCCATGCAGACGACATTTTCGTGTTATTACGTGAAATAGAAATGAATGATTTCTATCACCTAAAATCTAGAAATGGGTACATTTGGTGAAGAAGATCTTCAGAAAAAACTCCTCAGTACATGTAGAAATGGCTACATCTATTAAACGAAACTTTGGTGTGTGCCCACGGATGGCCTACTTTCGTCCTAACCAACTTGTGAGTGTTTGTAAGGACTCCATCGCCATCTACATGGACAAAACCTGCAGTACTACTTCCAGACCATTAAAAACCTCCTACAGCTTCGCCTTGCGCGCTTTATCACCGCCATCTCCAGCCTCAAGTCGCTTCTTCTTGTTATCATACTTGATCGCCTTCTTCTCGACTTTGCCAAACGGAGTCTTCTTCCACATCTCTTCAAATTCGTCTGGAGTGCCACTTGAGCACACCGACTCGAAATGACCTCCATCGTCTTTGTTCTGGCGGTTCCAAGTTCTGCGCAGTTTTTTGCCCTCGATCTGTCGCTCGTGTTCGGCCTTCAGACGTCCCGTTGAGTCCTCATAGCGACGGCGCGTGCTCGCTACTTGTCGACCCTTGGCGTCCATGACGGTGGAGTTGCTGAACGAGTAACACGAAAAGGTATGATGATCGCCTGTAGGTTGGTTGCCCTCCTTACGGACAATATCACGATTCTTTTTAAGGTTCTTTTCCTTCGAATTGGTGCAGTTGTCCGTTAGGCGCTTGTGGTTCTGTTTGGTGCCCTGGATTGGTAGATCTCTAAAGAACTCGTCTTCGATGGTGGCGTCCGGCATCATGAACAACCGACTGTGGATGTCGAATGGGCTGAAGCGCAGCATTTCATTAGTAATGCGATCGAACTCCATCATCGACTGCTCGATACTGGTAAAAGGGCTCCAGATGCGGGGGTGCACTTTGTCCCTGTCGTTAAGCATGGATCCTTTTCTTGACTTGACCTGACTGTTTCAACTTATTCGCTAGATGGTAAATTCCAAAGTGAGCACTTGAATGCCTCCAGCAAGGTCGCTACTGTCCAGCATTAACTTCATTCTGTTCTAGAATTTCCCATTTTGAGGATCTCCGCTTTGCACGGGCTCGTTACCAGTAGCCTTCTAGAAGAATGAAAACTTCAACTTGAGCACTTCAACATTAGATCGTACTTAATAGAATTTCCTTTGCTTTAAGGTCGAGAGGTCCTGTATACATTCGGCAATCTGTTAGTGCTGTGGTAGTGAGGAAGTACAAGTCGTCTTAGGGTGTTTGGAGCATTACGTGTAGGGGGTGTTTGCTTCGTATCAGTTGTTGACGTTGTTGACCCGTTAAATGGAAACCTACAAATGAAATATTACGAGAAACTACCTGCAGACTGAAATTACGAGAAACTACCTGCAGACTGAAACGATAATGCGGGCAATCTTTCATCTTCCAACTCATTTACCTCGCTGGGCGAGCTAGCTCCAGTCCAAATTCCGCGGTTCGGAAGCTTAACTGCGCGATTCTCTCCTTCTCTTCGTCAGAATGTGGACAAAAGGATGTAAACAATACGCATGGCGATCGATCGCTGTATCTGGCGGCTCGGATTATAGAGCAGCAAAAGAGCAGAGCACCCAATCATAGATGAGACCAAGAAGCCGTTAACAAAGTAAAGTAGGCAACTTCAATTTGACTGCCAAAGGCACGCAAAGCATAGCATGTAACTCATCGCCAGTTTTCGCGAATTCTGAATCAGCGCGACTACATCAAAATATTAATCCAAAAATGTCCTCATCCAGTAGAGAACAAACGTGCGCAAGTGCGCAGCTGGACCATCAGAGGAAATACGTTTCAACGCAGGGAAGTAACCAGCATTATACATGCGTGACCTCTAGCATAGCGTACATTTAGCACGAAGCTGACAGGGCTGTAGACTACAGTGTAGTATCCTTATCGTGGCCAATGTTTAGCCATGAACATTGCTCATTGAACAGCACCGCGTCAATTGGAGTGCATGTCGCACTCACGTAGATTCTCCAGTTGAAGCTGCAAGTTGCTTCAGATTCCGAGCGGTTTTGAACCTTTCAAAATCAATACAATTGTTTCCATTTTCTCCGTCACTGGTCACAAGTCCTTGTCAAAATCAATCCATTTCATTCGTTTCTTTCCCACAGCGCTTCCAGAACGCTTCTCTATCCGTACCCAGCTGTTCTCTGTCGTGCCTCTTCCTCGGTGTCATTTCCGGAAAAGCTTCGCGCCGCTCAAGGCAAATCTACTGCATACAAACGTCTAGTGTAAACCGCAACGCAATGGCCAACAACCCGCTCGAGGACGACGCTCGTGAGCTGCTGATCCTGGAGCGTCAGCGCACGGCCGCGTTGGAGCTTGAGGTCAAGTCGCTGCGTGCGTCGCTCGTGGCACTGGGCGAGTCGACCGAGTTCGAAGAGGAGCGAATGACCAACCGCCTCATTAAGCGTCTTCATGACGTCAAGAGCGAGAAGGAGAAGCTGGCGCTCGAGGTGGAGCGTGAAGAGGAGCTTCTGACCAACAATCTGCAGAAGAAACTCAACCAGCTGCGCAAGGAGAAGGTGGATCTGGAGAACAAGCTGGAGAACGAGCAGGAATACATTGTCAACCGCCTCTCGAAGCAGCTCGAGGCTGCGCGTGCCGATAAGGAGCGACTGCTGCAGGAGCTGCAGAACGAAGACAACGGTGTGCGCAAGGCGCTGGAGTCGCAGGTGGCCAAGATCCTGCACGAGAAGGTGCATCTGGAGAACGAGTTGGAGCAGGAGCAGGAGTTTCTTGTCAATCGTCTGCAGAAGCAACTCTCGGGTCTCAACAGTGAGCGTCGCCGTATGGAGCGCAAACTGGCCAAGGAGAACGTGGCGCTTATCGACCAGATGCAACTCAAGATCGACGTGCTGAAGCTCGAGTGTGGGGACAACGTCAACGCCTTCGCAGACGGCGTCAGCAAGATCCTGGCCAAGGCGAAGGAGCAACAGGCCAAGAAAGCGGCAGACGTCGTCAAGACCACCAAGGACGACATCAGTATCCATACCTGGGCTGCCTCCTCCGGCTACAAGCCGCAGCTCACGCCTGAAGGACTCGTCTACCAGCACATCCGTCGTGGCACCATGTGAAGCGACGATCGGTCACATTTTTATCTTCTGCTGGGTGCATGGACGGCAGCAGTTGGCGCGTTGGTTCTTTAACTTTTCTTTGCAGTTGCTGTCGCTGGTTGGAGATAAAACGAAGTAGCCGATCGACATCCAGACAAAAAAAAAAGATTGAAACCGAAGGCAAAGAGCAAACGATTCGAGAAGAACATCGCGGATGGAGAAGACGCGGACGAGAGCAGGAGCAACTTTAATCTTGTAACATAACGAAGTATTTTGCGTGTTAACCTTGTGATGAGTGAATGTCTTAGCACACTTCAGTATGAGTGAATGTTGACGCCACCACCAGATTCCGGTGGCATTCTCTACTTTGCAAGATGTTGCTCTGCCGCGTAAAATTTTGTTTTCAAATTTTCTATTAGCAATTACATAAACGACTTACACCTACAAACCTAGCTATGGTTTCTCCTAGCAAAACTGGTCACTTACAATGCCTGGCGCACCATGTTCTTCTGTGCCTCCGTCAGTTTGGTGGGGAATTGCACGTCAAACTCCACCACCAAATTGCCTCGCTGTGAAGGTCTCTTCTGCAGTGGCATACCCTCGCCAGCGATCACAATCTGCGTGCCAGGAGCGATGACACCCCCAAGAGGAACAGGCACTTCCCGTCCATCCAGCGTCTTGATGGTCAAAGTGCCGCTGCCCAGCAGTGCGTCGCGAAGTGAGAGCTTGGCGTGATACAGCAAGTTATCTCCGTCCCGTTTGAACTTGTTGTGCGGCTTCTGCTTAATAATAAACACGATATCTTGCGCTGGTCGACCAGGTAGAGCGTCACCCTGACCCTCAAAAGTGACCTTCGTGCCGTCCTTCCAACCAGGCTTGACATTGATCTCCAAAATCTTCTGTTCCTCACGCACTTGATTCGAGCTCGGGTCGTGCACTTTGCGCGTGATCTTAAGCTTCTTCGTGCAGCCAGTGTACAGTTGCTCCAGTGGCACTTCCAGTTCGCTCTTCAGTTGCTGTGCACGTGGTTGTCGCTGGCCGAATGGGTCGCGACCTCCAAAGCCGCCGCTCCTCATGCCACGCATGCCACCGAAGCCCATGTCGCCGAACATCGAGGCCATCGGGTCGCTGCTCTCGGCCTCGTGCAAATTCGAGGTGCCGAAGAACTGCTCGAAGATCTTAGATGGGTCTGTTGAGTGGAATGAGAAGCTGCCACCGGGGAAGCCGTTGGTCGACGTTGTGTACGTGAAACCTCCAGGCATTCCGCCCATTCCGCCCATTCCACCCATGCCACCCATGCCACCGGGCATGCCACCCTCGGGACCCTCGGGTCCAGCTGGCTGGCCCTTGAGCCCTTCCTCGCCGTACATATCGTAGATTTCGCGTTTCTTCTTGTCGCTCAAGACTTCGTAGGCCTCGCCGATCTCCTGGAACTTCTTTTGGGCCTCATCGCTGTTGTTGGGGTTCTTGTCCGGGTGCCACTTAAGCGCCAACTTGCGGTAGGCCTTGCGCAGCTCGTCGTCCGTGGCGTTCTTGCTCACGTTCAGGATCGCGTAGTAGTCCTTGCCCATAGTTGTGTATTGTGTGTGTGTTGCGTATCTTGCTTGGGGGATTTCTTCTTTTGTCTTTTGTGGCTTTTTCAATTATGAGACCAAACGTTGAAGTGGATGAAATGTCAACGCTATCGAAAGATGATTTTCGCGAAAATACTAGAAAATTCTAGACTGCGCGTGCTGATTGGCTAAATGTGTTCGATTAACGATTCTGAAAGGGTTATTTTGGGACAGGTTTTAGACACTCGACGTTGTCGTTGTTGCACTACTCCGCCGCTCACGCTCTCGCTCTTGCTCATGTTTGCGCAGCATCGTGGTAAGGATATTTTCTCGATTTCTGCGTTTCGTTCGATAGTTGGAGCTCGGGCGAGGATCTCGAATCGGCAGCATCATGCGGAACGACTTGGACTCGCAGTAGCTGGTCACAGTATCTGGCAGGTCGCCATCGTCGCGCGTACTGCCATACCGCGACATGAGCTTGGTACCGCGCAATGACTCGCTTGGTACTGAACAAAAGGGACATGAATAACAGTCAGCTACTGAAAAAAAAAAAAAACTAATAACGTTTTCCCACTATGCCGAGCGCACCATTTGAGCCGCCTTTCCTGCTGTCAACATCGCCCAATGCAATTAGCTTCGGACGACGCATCGATTCTTGACAACCCGAGCACATTTCCTGCAGCAATCATATCATCCCAGTGAATCTCTATCCCAACAAGGCAAACAGTACCCAGGACTGCCTGCCATCGCTCTGGACTTACAACTTTGTCCAGTCCTCGTACGAACTTCGAGCAATGGCAAGCGCTGGAGCACGACAAAAAGGATACATCACGAATTAGCGCGCTCAAATGTACAAATGGTCCAGAAGCACTCGTTGTACTTGAGATTCTCGCGCTCCGTCTTGGATTTTTCGATCAGCGTGGCTATCGTCTTCATGCGTCGACATTCTCTTCCACGGATCGTGGCGAGGATATAGTCCCCAGCAGCATTAATGGTCTCTTGACGTCGTTGACGTTTGTTGCTGCCCGGTAGCTCGACGATCCCTCGAATAAATACATCCACTTTATCTGGGGCTGCCTGATAGTAGAGATAACACACCGACATGTTGACTCGATGTACAGACTGATCGGACATTCGGTCCTCCGTCTCGACCGATTTCATCAACTGGAACCCGAAGCGTCTCCCTGCCGTGACCATGGTGTCCATTCGTTCGACCCAGCAGAGCTCGTCGATAGTACCGGGGACGTGACTGCACTTCTCTACGAACTTAACGCCAAAGAACTCGTGCGGCTTGGCGTCCGAGCGCGTGCGAAATGTTCGCACCACACCACAGTCTAGGATGCTACCGTACTGGATCGGGGCGCTGAGCTGCATCTGCTCCGTAGTGTCAGAATACAGTCCGTCCATGACCTCGTCCAGAGTACCGGTCAGCGTCCCGCCTCCAAATGCGCTAACCATCGTAGTACGCAACACTCCGAAGGACCCAGAACTGCTGCAGTCGTCAGGAAGAGAGCGTCGCATGTTGCATGGGGCTTCACGAAGCTCTATACGCTCCGTGTACAGGTCGATACCCCGCTCTGACTTGAGCTTGAACCACTTACGTGCGTCCACCACGCGTCGGTGGCAACGTACGAAGTCCACGTACTGCAGCGCCGTCTTGGCGATGATACCATCGCTTGAGACCACGAAGGCTCGCAGCGAGGCGGCTTGTTCTTCCTCGTCGTCGGTCATGGCTAAGAGTGCAACTGGCGACTACTGCACATCGGGTTCACATAACAAATTGTGAAACTTTAGGTGCACTTGAAATGTAGCTATCGTCGAGCGAATATCTAAAAGAATGTATGAGGTCATGTTACAGTAATTTTCAGATAGTTTCGACACCGCAACACCTGATAATTTCTACATGCACTTGTGTGATGTCGCAAATATTTACTTGATAAAACTGGGACTACTGCCCTGCATCAACATAATACTTGGCTTGCATCTACCACTACGAGGCCTTCTTTAGTACCATTGCGATGACAACGATTGCCACGAGGATGGAGACGCCGATGCCCAGCAGACAGCACATTTTCTTGCGGTATGACTTCTGGTGCTTGATGGCCTTCTGTACCTCCTTGTTGCCCTGCTCCACGTAGTTGGCGGCTGTGCGCACTTGATAGTCGATCTGGTCCAGTAATTCGCCCTGCTGCTCCACCAGCAGCGCCAAGTCCAGGAACATTTGATGCAATTCTGCCACACTCTGCTCCAACTTGAGTACATCCTGGTACTTGTCTTGGCAGTGGAGGAAAACATCGGTGATGGATTCGGCAGCCCCGCCCTGAAGAATGGCGCTTTTGTAGATAGATCCGGGGTCTCCCGAGCGCATAACAGCATCAATCTCTGCCTCGGACGCGTCAGGTTTCACGATCTGTACTTGTCGTTTCACCTTGTTCTTCATATCGCTCTTGTATTTTTGCTGAGCCTTCTGGTACTCCTTCATAGCATCCATGAACTTCTTGGTCAAGGTAGCGCACATATTATCGCGGATTCTGAGCATGATCGAGCAATTAGAACAGCTCCAGTAGCTTGTTAATCGTTTCAATTAAAACGTACCGGACTTCAGACAGAGGTGTGTTCTTGTCCTTCTTCCTCTCAGCCGATTCCTTCTTAAGCCGCTCCAGTAGTCCTTTGGCATGTGCAGCAAGCTTGTTCGTGGTCTCAATCACGAATCCGAGCTCGGTACTGATGGCTGTGTGGATGCAAACACAGTTAGTGTACAATATCTGATTAGAAGAACTCTTGCTTAGCTCATATACCTTGCTCTTCAGTATTTGACGTCGCAAGTATAGCTTTGCTATTCAGCTCTGTGATCTGTTGTGAAGCGAGGCTACAGCAGTGAACAACCAGGAGCATTGTCAGTGTTATTAACACGCCAAAGAAGCACAACCAACATCCGAACCTTATATTGGCAAGGTCCATTTGCATCTCTTCGACATCCTTGAAAAACACCTCCATGAACTTGGGCCGAACGACGCCACGGCTACGCAGGCGCAAACACGAGCATTAGCAATACGGTACTCGTAAACTACAGCTAGCACTAGCATCGTAAAACTCTTCTTCACCTCTATCCACCCACAAAGCAATTAGTACCCATTAGCCCACCGTGACATGAGACTGGAACTATAGCAGCACGGTACACGCACCTCGACATCGATCGCGACCTGGTCCGAAGGAGGGGCTTTGCCTTTGATCTCTGCGAGCCGATCCAACATGTGATCTCTCCGCTTCTAAGTGGATGTTATTGCCGCGTGCAAGTAGCCGTATTTTCTCGGGGCATGCGACGGAGTGGGCAGTTGTGTACAGGTGAGTTGCAAGGCAAAGTGATCGATCATTTCCTTGCAGCACTAACAACAGCAACTATGTATAGCTAGTTCTGTGAAACGAACACGAAGTGGGCGACAAGAGCTTGCATGGATAAGATGCTATGGCTAGACCAACCCGACGGCGATGAAGACGACTAAGGTAAGTATAAAGTATAGCATTCAACTGGATCAACATTACGAATGTCACCACGAGGGATAGCCTACTTAGATGTCATACGTGGATGGAGAGCTCATATGAGGAGAATTATCTGGAATGGTTTCTGCTTTAGTTTCTGCTTTTAGCTGCCGTGATTTTGATCATTATAACGACCCCGTTAATTTAAGCAAGGAAGACGAAGTTACTGCTATCAACTTCGTTTCGCTTGAGCGTTAAAACCTACCAGTACTCTGCACCCCCCCCCCCCCTACATGTACATATTTTGCCTAACGGCAAGTCACACAGACTTAAATGACATGCAACGTTAGTCATCTCTGATAGCTGCGCAAGCGGCAAGTGTTATGCTATCACTGATGCTCCACCCACCCAACTATCTATAGCACATATATCTCCTGGACACACAGGGCGACGCAAATTGGTTGTCAACGCTGACCAGGTAACTAGAAGTCCACACTGTGCGTGGGCAGACATTCATCTAGCTCAACGCGAGCAACCCAGCTCAATACGGCCAGAAACGTTGGTTTAACGAGCCTATCAGCCGCATTCGACTTTATCCGACAAGTCTACTTGGACTAGCAAATACCTCACAGACATATTGAATCGAGGATTTCAACCCTGTAAGATATTCACACAATCGATGACCACCAGGACAAGTTCGTGAACGTGCGGAGGCGGCGACAGCAACTGCCGAAACACAAACCATGACTAACCTACAATCCAAGTGCTAAGACCAACAGTTTCCGCCATCGCTCTGGCAGTACTCACACGATTAGACCAGAAAATCCAACGCAATAGAGAAGCTGTCAACACCTTGGGGGTTGCTGCAGTTGAGGTCCACCGGCTAATTACATGTACAGACGCGAAATGCCATTCCGGTGCTTCCAGCCTTTGTGAATTTCATTTTGAAGCCATTTTCGTGATTTTTTTAAGGTGTGCACTACACCCAATAAGTTGAGCTCGTCACATTGGATAATTCACGACTACCACATCAATTTTATTGGTCAAAAAGGAAACATCTTACCTTCACTATGCGTTCATGGGAAAACCCAAGTCCTCGAGCTAAAGGCCCCCTCATTTGAGTCTTCCAGCGGAAGTCCTAATCGTCGGGCCTGTTAACTTGCGCCGGACCTCTTTGCCTTCTCTTCCTTTGCGTGTGCCCTACGGACGTCTCCTCTCCCCCTACGTCCGTCCTTCCCTGCTACCACCACGCTCGCGGACCGCAAGAGAAAACGAGGCGACGGAGGGATGTCCCATGACGGATACTACGCCTCCTCGCGGGACGACACGCCGCCGCCAGCCCCGCACAGCGCGACCTCGGGCTTCAGCGACCCCGCCAACCCCAGCACTGTGCACTCCATGACCGACTCGAACGGCCTCATGCCGCGTACGCACGTAGCGGTTCCGCCACAGCTCCAGGGCGACGAGGACCAATCCATGAGCGACTCGGACCGCTCCAATTCGTCGTCCGCACTCAATCTATCGCAGGCTTCTGTCCTGGACATTGTCAAAGAAGGCAAGCGCGTCATCGCCGCATTCCTCAGAGAGACGCAGTGCTATGACGTCATCAAGAACAGCGGCAAGGTCGTGGTCTTCGACGTCAAGATCCCCATCAACCTCGCCTTCTTCGCACTGGTAGAGCACGGTAAGTAGAGCAGAGAAGGAAATGGTGTCGTATTGACTAATATTTATTTATTTGCTGCTTATTAGACATCAAGTCGGTGCCCATTTGGGATGCCGAACAGGGAAAGTTTGTGGGTATGTTCACGGCGACCGATTTTGTCAACATCTTACGCCATTTCTACATCCGCGGGTCGCCCATGAACGAGCTAGCAGAGCACAGCATCGCATCCTGGAGAGGTACGGCCTTATAATATAGGACTGGCACTGAATTTGAAGCCTAATACTGGTGTTGTGGTCGCTATAGCAATCCCGCGATCCCTGTCAATGGCACCGACACGGGAGGAGATGGTGTCGGTCACACCAGAGCACAATCTTTACGAGGTGTGCAAGATGCTTCGCGACAATAGGCTTCATAGACTCCCCGTAGTAGACCCGACCCAGAACTCGGTCTTGGCTGTCATCACGCACAGCGGGATTTTGGAATACCTGGTGGCCACCTTTCGCGAGCAGCGCAGACTGTTCGACCAGCCCATCTTCGATCTAGGCATTGGCGTCTACAGCGGCTTCGTGACTGTTCCGGAAGATATGCCGCTTATTCGCGTGCTGCACACCCTAATTGAACGGAGGGTCTCGGCGGTGCCGATAGTGGACCCAAGTGGTAAGGTTTTGGCCATTGAAGACCCGGTATATGTGCAGTGGTGATCTCACACTTGTGTTGCTGGTGGCCAGGCGTTGTTGTGAATATTTATTGTGTATCGAACGTCACCGAGTTGGTGAAGGACCGGTCACTTACCCAGTTAGACATGCCTGTGGGAGAAATTCTCAGGATCCAAGCTGCTGAGGTGCGCTGAGGAGTTGAAGAGTTTGTACTATTAAAGCCGTGCTGACCGTGGACTGTGCTGTTGCAGGGCAACGTCGGTGAAGGCTTACATCTGTGTTACAAGACCGACACGCTGCACATGATATTCGAGCGGTTCGCTGCGTGTAAAGCTCACCGCTTTGTGTGCGTGGACGAGTATTCGCGCTGCGTAGGGCTCGTATCCCTCAGCGATTTGTTTAATTATTTCCTCGACTAGCGAGCGAAAAGTACAAAAGTGTCTCGCGCTTGGAGCGACAGAGGACAGACGTAAAGGAAATGAAAAAACATCGTGAAGCAGGCGAACCGCAAGTGGATGCGTGAACGTCGGGGACAAGAAGACCACAAACAAATCATACAACAACCAAATTTGAGAGATGGGGGAGCAAGGACGTATAGAGTCTCTTTTGCACCACACGTGATCGCCTCGGTTATCTTAAATCGGGCCTTGACCAGGAGAGATGGCCTTAAGCCTACGACGCGTAATGTTAACGTACTAGTACAGTAACGACAGATAATGCCATCACCATTGCAACACCATGACCGCTGCAACTGGATAGTGCGCCTTCATATAAATGGTTAAGTATTGACTGCATCGCAGCCTTCTTCATTAATCAACAAAAATATTCTGGTAAATGTGCGTGTCCTCTCTCAATCAGCGCAACGTCTCGAGGTGGCGACGCAGTTGATCCAGGTCGCACGAGGGCAGCCCGATGGGCGGTTCACGCCCCAATGTGGTGTATCTGTTGTAAATCTTGGCCAGAAGATCGTCCTTTTCACGGCGCTGTGCGATGCTGCGCGCCTTGTCCGGGTCTGCGTGGCCGCCCTGACGCCAGTCTCCCATACGGGCTTCAGCTGCTTCGGCAGCCCGCGCTCGCTTCTCTGCAGCTGACGGTTCAACCCCATTGATCTGCAGGCTTCCACCAAGCGTTTGCCCACCTCTCGGCTGCTGCTGCGGACGTGGCTGTGGCCGCGTAGTCTCCGATACGGTCGAGAGCTGCGCCTTGGACGAGCAGCACCCCATTCTCTGTGTTACAGTTCCTTTACTGTCGCTAATCAGTTCTGTTTTGGGCAATTATCTATCGAACCTCATTAACCTAGTTAATAGACTATTCTAAACCGAAACTGAATAACTTTGGGCGATTTTGATTCGTTATTCTGGGTTTCGTAGCTGCTCGGCCATCCGTTGCCACTTGCTTATCCTCCCACTAGACCTGTACACCTACGTAGGCAGCCATGTCATCCGCTATGGCCAAGATCGCCGAGCTGGAGGCCGAGTATGCTCGTACGCAGAAGAACAAGGCCACTATGAAGCATCTGTGTCTTCTCAAGGCCAAGATCGCCAAGCTACGGCGCGAGGTGACAGACGCCGGCTCCAAGTCCGGCGGTGGCGGTACAGGCGAAGGCTTCGACGTCAACAAGGCCGGTGACACACGCGTGGGGCTCGTGGGATTCCCCTCTGTGGGCAAATCTACGCTTCTAACTAAACTCACCGGCACTTTCTCCGAGTCGGCGTCCTACGAGTTCACGACACTCACAGCCATCCCAGGAACGCTCAATTACCGCGGTGCTCGCATCCAGATCCTCGATCTTCCCGGTATTATTGAGGGCGCAAAGGACGGTAAAGGTCGCGGCCGACAGGTCATCGGTACAGCCCGTACCTGCAACGTCATTCTCATTGTGCTGGACGCCATGAAGCCCGCCACACACAAGAAACTCATCGAGTTCGAGCTCGAGGGCTTCGGTATCCGCCTCAATAAGAAGCCGGCCAACATGGTCTTCCGTCGCAAAGAGCGTGGCGGTATCAACTTCCAGACTACCGTCCCTCAGAGCGAGCTGGACGCAGACACAGTCTACCAGATCCTGCACGAGTACAAGATCCACAACGCCGACGTGACGCTGCGTGCCGATGTGACGGTGGACGAGTTCATCGACCAGATCGAGGGCAACCGCGTGTATATCCCGTGTCTGTACGTGCTCAACAAGATCGACCAGCTCACGATCGAAGAACTGACGATCATCGACCAGATCCCGCACAACGTCGTGATCTCGGCCCACCACGGATGGAACCTGGACGAACTGCTCGAGACGATCTGGGACTACTGCCACATGATTCGCATCTACACCAAGCCTCGGGGTAGACTGCCCGACTACAACGCGCCGGTTATTCTTCACGAGGAGAACCCGACGGTCGAGAACTTTTGCCAGCGTATCCACAAGTCGCTGCTAAAGGAGTTCAAGTACGCCTGGGTCTGGGGGTCTTCCTGCAAGCACCAGCCGCAGAAGGTCGGCAAGGAGCATCAGCTACAGGACGAAGATATTGTGCAGATCGTCAAGAAGGTGTAAGGAGGGTCTGTCGTGCGCTTCCAAGGTGGCGCTCCAATATACTGTAGCTGCGTTTCGATAAATCATGGTTTATTAGATCCCTCTCCGTTAAAGTGGAGGATATCTATCACAGTCTACGTCTCTATCTACAGGTTGATGCTCTGCTGTTTGCACTGGTTAAGAGCATCGAGGTAGAACTGGCAGGCGGCCACGTCGTTCGAGTTGCGGTCGATGCACTCGAGGAAGGCCTTGTTGTCACTGGCGCACAAGGCGGCCGAGGACTTAGCGACGGGGGCAACAGGAGCCGCAGCCACGACCTGAGCAACTGGATCCTCCTTGGAGCCGCTGAAGGAGTCGACGACGGCGTTCACTCCGTGGCGGGCGATGGCACTGCCCGTTCCGAAGGCAAAACCTTCCGCGACAGTGGAGAGAAGACCACCACCGACGCTGGGGGCGGGGGCACTGGCCTGAGCAGGAGCAGGAGCGGCAGGCTGCTTAGCAGGAGCGGGGGCAGACTTGACCGGGGCGGGCTTGCGGGCAGGGGTGCTTGAGCGACGAGAGCGACCCATTGCGTCTTGGATTTAGCATTAGCTTGAGGTGGTTAATTGGATTGTGGGGCTCGTAATGGAGACCACCGACAAAAGTTGCCTTTTTACCATCATTCCGACTTTACATCCATCATATTTTTTTTTAGCAGATACCGAATCTTCTGGAATTAGCACCTCGGCGTCTTGGCGAGCTCAAGCCGACAGCGATTTATAATAAGAGGCACGTGCAAATGGTTACACAGGCATGTATTGTATAAATGCCGACCAAAATAACAACTTGCTTTGTAACTACGTTTTGATTGGCTAATGTCAAATTATTAGTACTGTGGAAGATTATTACAGGCGAAGACTTGCATGGCCACCTTGCCACGCAGAGCAGTCAGGATGCTCGACACAGGGAGCTGCCTACCGTACACAGCGTAAATTTTATCTATCGCAGTATCACTAGTGTAACCCGAACGAATCAGTGCCGCCACGATATCCCAAAAGACCTTTCTCCGAGAAAATGCAAACTTGTTGGCACCTCGTTCGACCGGTGTAAAGTCCTTTGCTGGCTTGAGCCCACCATTACCAAACTGAAATTCGTGCCAGAGCTCGAACAAGTCCTTTGGTCGCTTTGATAACCGTGCAACTCTCTTTTCCGGATAAACTACCACATGTGAAGGCGCGTCTAAGCGGACTGCTGGCTGCATCATTACTCGCTTCAATATCGTCTGAATCTTTTGCAGTTCACGTTGGTTTTCATGTCGAGACCGCTGCATCTCGCTCATAAGCTCTGACACTGAACGCTGTACGGCTGCATACTGCGAGTGAAGAGAAGCAAACTCTCGGCGAGAACCTTCTCCTCCTGTGCTGCTACCAGCAATAATTCCTCGACGATTAACGTCTGTTGCACTATCTTGAGTATCGATAGTGATGAGATTAAGTTGCGAGCCATCGCCCATGACAAAAAAACCCCACTCGGTCTATCGGATTTAGAGATTCACTCCCTCCCGAATTAACGTAAGCGCCAATAATTTTCTGCTTGAGTCGATCTGGAATGAGCTCGTATGTGTAGTTGTCAGAGGGTTCCATAGCTGCCCATAACAACGGCATCGCCAGTGTAGTTGCCACCGCCTCACCCATCACTTGTTTGATTGTAGGTGCTATCTGGTCAACAAATAGTGTTGGAGAAACACAGTCAATCCCATGTTTGCGTACGTAGAAACATGGACCTAGTGGTCCCGCCAGTGCTGCTGCAGTGCAGGCATCGGGGTATGGCTGCGTGTTGTCAATGTAGACGTCAACAACGCCTTTGCGTGTCCTCCAGCGTCCACGGCGGTTAACAAAGTCCTTTGACATTCCGCACCGAGAAGCATACGTTGATGCACCCTTGCGAAAGCTGTGTGTTCCAAGTTTCCCTGTCTTCATATTCTTAAAAGCGGTGTTTGTAATGATGTCTCCCAGAAACCGACGCACCACGCGATTCCCATCCTTCGGGTGACCGTAGATGAACTCCGAGTTAGAAACATTCGTGCTCGTCTCAATGTAGACGGCCAAGTTGAGTAACCCACACATTTTTGGGTCCATACTGCCGAGTACAATCTGCTCAGGGGCGTCTCGTTCTTCATGTATGTTCTTCGACCATCGCATCTGGCACAATAGCGTGGAAGGGTACTGCCTATTCGGCACAAAATTGGCAAACTGTAACTTCATCATGTCATCTATACGAGCCATAATGTGCCACTGCAAGGTAAGGACGCTGCTCACCATGTACGCCGTCTCACCCTTCCCCCATTTTGAGCGCACAAGAGACAACGAATTCAGGAACTCGTCAAACTCCAGGCTTCGCCGCGCTTTTGGCTCGACACCCTCTCTGCGAACCTCAAACTTCTTCACTCGCTTAATCAGCTTATTAACTGCGTCTGATCGCGTAGAATTTCCGTGCGCTGTCACAGGATCCCACGATGCGTTTATTCGGGGCATGAAGGATGATATGGCTTTCTTCGAGAACTCTAAAGTGGCAGATCTGCGATGAACAGGTCTCATGTCGTCGCTGGGGACTGGGCTTCCGTACGCTAGCTCATTCATCCAGTGGCATACGTGCTCGGGGGTTATAGCAAGCAACTCCTCCATAGTGAAGGCGTGATCGCTGTTGTACTCGACGCCGTCCTTGTAGGACATAAACTTGAGGAGCTCGGGCTTATAGCGACTTGTCATGGTAGGATAGTGATCTGCTTTTTCAATTTTCCAGTCAGTGCACGTCTACCTGATTTGCAACCCTGACAAGGTGTTTGTATAGAGTCTGAGTTGCAACTCAAGCTTTGTTTTACTATGGTGCACACAACCCAAGTTGAAACTTACACACCACTTCTCAGCCACGGTGCCGATCAAAATTCTTGTCGATACCTTGCTTCTGGCCAATCACAGACCGAGAATCGCCGGAAATACAACCCCGGTTGCAAATGGCCGATAATGTACCCGTATTAGTACAGGTTATGAATAAGATGGAGTCGACCATCAATGCCATACTACTGTAGTAGGAGGAGTGAATCCAAGGAATTACTTAGGTCTTCTATTCAAGAAAGACAAAATAGGGGGTTTCAAAATTAAAAAAATCGATTTCGAAATCGTTCACGATTTCGTGCTGTGCCACTGTCCCAAATCGGACGAGGTACTTCATCAAAATCAAATGCAATTCCCTCCAAAATCCTTCGACTCCCTCCGAGAGGGGGGGGGGGGTCCCCTCGTAGGTTCCAGTCGCAAATTTGCCACCATGGCAGCCAAGGGAGTAAAGAATCGAGACAAAGCAAGCGATGATGCGTCGAAGTCCCATCTTCGAACTGAAGATCTCTACGCAATCGTCACCTGGCTTGAACATCCACCTAACTTCGTGAAGTGCTTTGGGACAACCGGGAAGCCCTCAGTGGGGAAACAGTCGACGAAAACCAGCGGTTTCAAGGAGATGGCCAACACTCTGTTCACTAGCAGCAAGGGGAAGTTTAATCTTAAGCCTCATCAAATGCGCAACCGCTTTACTACATACAAGGTGCGGTACCTACGTACGAAAAGAGTATGAGGACTCAACTGGTGCTGGTGTAACAACAGAGGACGCAGCGAAGGGAATTCACACGCTGAAGCAAAAACTTGACTTCATGTGCCCTTGGTACGAGAAAATGAACGATCTTTTTGGTAAGAAGTCTAATGTTACCCCACTAGACTCTTTTGATTCCACCGAAGTGGAGGAGGAGGGTTATTTGACGGAAGGTGACAAAGACAACGAAGAGGACGATGGCGGCGAAGGAAGTGCAGGGGGCGAGGACGAGGAA